CAGGTAAGATAACTGTTAACCCTACAGTCAAGTTAGCGATACCTACATCCAATATAACAGAGATGCCTTTCCGTGGCTCTGGTGCGAAGAACTGCTCTTGGGCAACCGATGCCTCCTCCTTCGCGTATTCCCGGGTAGAGATGCTTTTGTTGTCGCTCATCTTGGTGACTATCCAGCGGACGAGCCCGTCAATTGCACCGGGCTGGGCGCCGCTGTTTCCGGACTGTGTAGCCGTCGCTGACTCGCTGTCCTGGTCCACTGGTTTTGGTTGCTCTTTGCTGTCCTGAGCCCGGAGTTTCGGTTGTTCTTTTTGGAGCAGTTTGTGGACACCGTCCCTGCAGTAGCGCGCTGCTTGTTCACACATCCTTTTGCAGCGGAGCGTTCATGCTGAGCGCTATGGGGACAATCCCTCCCTCCCCTCTTACATCATCATCGACCCTCCGAACATCCCCGAAAACACACCTCTCCTCAACATCACTTCAAACTTAAGAGGGTTAGTGGCAGTGGTGTAAAGTACTTAAGTAAAAAAACTTTTAAGTACTACTTAAGTAGTTTTTTTGGGGTGTCTGTACTTTACTTTACTATTTATATTTTTGACAACTTACTTTTACTCCACTACATTCCTAAAGATAATAATGTACTTTTTACCCCATACATTTTCCCTGACACCTAAAAGTACTCCTTACATTTAGAATGCTCAAGCAGGACAGAATTATGGCACCTATCAATATAACGCTTTGTCATCCCTACTGCCTCTGATCTGGCGGACTCACCAAAAACAAATACTGTGTTTGTAAATAATGTCTGAGTGTTGGAGTGTGCCCCTTTCTGTCCATAATTAAAAAGAATACGAAAATAGTGCCATCTGGTTTGCTTAATATCAGGAATTTGATGTATAGAATTTACTTTTACTTTGTACTTTTACTCAAGTATGACAATTGAGTTCTTTTTCTACCACTGTACTTACAGTGAGGGAAAAAAGTATTTGATCCCCTGCTGATTTTGTACATTTGCCCACTGACAAAGACATGATCAGTCTATAATGTTAATGGTAGGTTTATGTGAACAGTGAGAGACAGAATAACAACAACAAAATCCAGAAAAACGCATGTCAAAAATGTTAAACATTTATTTGCATTTTAATGAGGGAAATAAGTATTTGACCCCTCTGCAAAACATGACTTAGTACTTGGTGGCAAAACCATTGTTGGCAATCACAGAGGTCAGACGTTTCTTGTAGTTGGCCACCAGGTTTGCACACATCTCAGGAGGGATTTTGCCCCACTACTCTTTGCAGATCTTCTCCAAGTCATTAAGGTTTCGAGGCTGACGTTTGGCAACTCGAACCTTCAGCTCCCTCCACAGATTTTCTATGGGATTATGGTCTGGAGACTGGCTAGGCCTCTCCAGGACCTTAATGTGCTTCTTCTTGAGCCACTCCTTTGTTGCTTTGGCCGTGTGTTTTGGGTCATTGTCATGCTGGAATACCCACCCACGACCCATTTTCAATGCCCTGGCTGAGGGAAGGAGGTTCTCACCCAAGATTTGACGGTACATTGTCCCGTTGATGCGGTGAAGTTGTCCTGTCCCCTTAGCAGAAAAACACCCCCAAAGCATAATGTTTCCATCTCCATGTTTGACGGTGGGGATGGTGTTCTTGGGGTCATAGGCAGCATTCCTCCTCCTCCAAACACGGCGAGTTGAGTTGATGCCAAAGAGCTCGATTTTGGTCTCATCTGACCACAACATTTTCACCCAGTTCTCCTCTGAATCATTCAGATGTTCATTGGCAAACTTCAGACGGCCCTGTATATGTGCTTTCTTGAGCAGGGGGACCTTGCGGGCGCTGCAGGATTTCAGTCCTTCACGACGTAGTGTGTTACCAATTGTTTTCTTGGTGACTATGGTCCCAGCTGCCTTGAGATCATTGACAAGATCCTCCCGTGTAGTTCTGGGCTGATTCCTCACCGTTCTCATGATCATTGCAACTCCACAAGGTGAGATCTTGCATGGAGCCCCAGGCCGAGGGAGATTGACAGTTCTTTTGTGTTTCTTCCATTTGCGAATAATCGCACCAACTGTTGTCACCTTCTCACCAAGCTGCTTGGCGATGGTCTTGTAGCCCATTCCAGCCTTGTGTAGGTCTACAATCTTGTCCCTGACATCCTTGGAGAACTCTTTGGTCTTGGCCATGGTGGAGAGTTTGGAATCGGATTGATTGATTGCTTCTGTGGACAGGTGTCTTTTATACAGGTAACAAACTGAGATTAGGAGCACTCCCTTTAAGAGTGTGCTCCTAATCTCAGCTCGTTACCTGTATAAAAGACACCTGGGAGCCAGAAATCTTTCTGATTGAGAGGGGGTCAAATACTTATTTCCCTCATTAAAATGCAAATCAATTTATAAAATTTTTGACATGCGTTTTTTTTTTTTGTTCAAATAAACCTACCATTAAAATTATAGACTGATCATTTCTTTGTCAGTGGGCAAACGTACAAAATCAGCAGGGGATCAAATACTTTTTTTCCCTCACTGTAAGTACATTTAACACCAGATACTTTTAGACTTTTACTCAAGTAGTATTTTACTGGGTAACTGTCACTTTTACTTGAGTCATTTTCTGTTAAGGTATCTTTACTAATACTGAAGTATGACAATTGAGTACTTTTTCCACCACTGGGTAGTGGACTGTTGTAGGGGACTGTCTATTGGTGCCTTGGCAGTATTCGATTAGACTAATCAGCATCTTGCCTGATACAGGTATACTTGCTTAAATATATGAGAAGTTATTTCAGATGTAGAAGTTATTGTAAAGAAATTGAAGTAAAAATGTGTTGAGAGACATTGTACAAGGTGGACTGAAGCACCTTGAATTAAGTTAAAGAGAAGTATACGAGTCCTTTCAACACTACTTCTAACAGAGCTCTATCAGATGTGGGGCAAATGAATCAAGTCACTAGCTAACTACGTTTCGATTAGGATAATGGCATGGTTGAGTGGGGTGATGTCACCCGGTGTAAGTGGTTCATTAAGCCACTGATTAGGCCCCCTGTTGCATTCATAATCTCTGTTAGATGAAAAGTTTGGCTGATGATGATCAGAGACATTAGGCCTCACCATAGAGCGCAGAATGCCCCACCTACATGTTTCATCTGAGCCCCTCTCAATTTTGAGAAAAGTCCCTCATTACTAGTGTGTGAGTGTGTGCTACTATAAAGGCCCATGCAGGATAACCTTTGTGAGTTGAAAGACTCCCTGGTCCTGCCCTTTTCAGAGAGGTGATTAAGTCATTCCAGGTCTATCCCTTTAATTAGCCAAACTCACCAGAATAGGAAGAATGCTCTGCCTTTAGAAATATGAAAATATAATTATTGCAATTTTTTATGTGTGGCATAAAACTTTGCATACGGTAAGCCTCCACAGCAGTTGCTGAGGAAGAACCCATTCTGAGAGGACATCTTGCCTCAGGTGACTAGAAGTGCCTCCATCCGCCTCCAGTCTCTGACAGAGGAAGGCCTGGTGCCCAGCAGAGCACAGCCAGTCAGACCTGGCTGGGTTACAGTAAATGGGTCTCAACAGGACCTCTGTTTATGTGACTCTGGTTACTTGAGCCTCATCAGCCCCATGCTTCCCCACACAGATCAGGCAAACGAGCCCATTACAGGCAGCCCAGCATAGAATGGCCCCTCCTGTGGTCAAGCCCAGATGGATGTGATGCCCCTTAGCAAAGAGCTGGGAGCGTTCCATAGAGAGGAGAGAGAGAGCTCCTTCACTGGATCATCTATCTGTCTACTCTGATTACAGTTCAGCTGCATCATAACTGCTACCCAGTTTGAAACCGACAATCATAAACACAACACATTCCATTTCTGTCAAAACTGTTCATCCTCTTCTGGTCACCGTCTTCAATTGAGACCGCACAAGATTGGGGTATCAAAAACAATCTGATCATATAACAAGCCCATCAAATAGACCCACAGGCTATGCAGTGGGGGTGGGAGGGGGACAGACAGTGGGAAAGTGGTGGTTATGCCATCCATTCCTATTGAGCTGATAGTACCGTGGGCTGAGCTGTGTAGGGTAAGTAAGTTCTGGCAGAGGGACTGCTGACACGGCAGCAAAGAAACAGTGGATTCAAACAGTGGATTCACGATCCTTTGAAAAAATTTAATAACAATTTGAATTATGTGGTTAGGAATAAGAGCCAATATACGTATGTGTGCCTGTGCAATGCTCTCCCACTCCCTCATTAAAGCTCTCCTACTCACTAGATTAAAAGCTCTGCCAGGAGACTTCAAACCCCTGCACAATATTTAAATATGAACGAATTTAACAACTCATTGATTGTGAGAGAATGAGGGAAAATTGCAATAGCTATCTGTCCCAAAACACAGGCACTCATCCTGCTTGCACACACACACACTCACTCTCTCTCTCTCTCTCTCTGACACACCTATTCAACTGCTGTTTATGCAAATTAAAACTCTTTTTATATTTCACGCATCCTGAACACCCATCCTGTTCCCACAAAGAAACGTAGGAGGACTCTGGTGCTGACGCCTAATGATTGCTATTTGGAGGAGTAAGTGCTCTCCCTAGTGGCTCTGAGAGGAACATGAAGAGGGAACGAGAAGAGACACCCAACAACAGCTGATAAGATAGACCATTTCTGCTATAAATATATTTATTATTTAGTCTCACAATGTATAGATCTCCTAAGGCTTTATAAATAGGACAATGCCACAAATTATTATTTGTAAAATCAATAACTAATAACTAAATGTGATTACTGTAGCCTACTGATTTAAAACACATTCAACAAATTCAATTCCGTGCTAAAAGTTCAAATTAAAGTGCAAAAGAAGAAAAACGCCCATCTATATGACATTTATTAGCTTGACATTTGCTTAAAACTATATCAGTGTGGAGTAAACATATTGTAGTATCAACCACAATGGGCATTGGACTGTTGATCCTGTATAGATGAGGTTTACCCTCCTTTAGGAGGTCTTGTCCCTCTGGGCCAGCTCAGGGCAGTAGCCCGTCAGGTAGAAGACCCAGGAGATGCTCTGGCCGTGGCCCTCAGAGCGCGGGCTGGAGATGGTCAGCTTACCACTGCAGGGCCCTCGGGAGCCAGGGGGTGGCCCCTCGAACATCACCAGAATGTTATGGGTCTTCTTGGGCCGGATGGTCTCCACACCCTTCACAGTGAAGGCTGGGCTGTCCACCTGGAAGGAGAAGGCTGTGGTCTGAACAAACACATTCTTAAAAGGGATGGACACGCTGGATCCGGCGCGTATGGTGAAGGGGCCCTGGGCTTTGGGAAGAGTGCAGCACCCAAAGAGAGGGAACATGTATTCTCCACCAAACCCTGAGGAGAGGGTGAGCATGCCACGGATCTCCCCCAACTGACAAGGCTCAAAGTAGACCTCCAGGCTGATGTCGGTGCCCGCCTGGTAGCCAGCTGCAGCGTTGATGTTCTTCTCCACAATGAAGTCAGGACTGTCTGTCTGAGAGAGACACAGAGGAACTCACACCTCATATCATATCATCAGAATTTTATGATCATGCATTCCCCGAGATAATGTATAAAATCTATAATGGAAATGCTATAGCTTGTATTATCCAATGTCTACAAGATATTCTATAAAAAGTACAATTTGTAGAGAAAGGCAGTAAGACAACAGGTTTCCAGGTAACAGTGGTCATCAAGCATGAGCTGTGTGCCTGGCTGTGTGGGTAAATGATTGCAGGTGGATCCAGTACCTTGCAGGCATACTCTGCCTTGACGCGGGAGTAGTTGGTAAACTTGGCAGAGACGGAGTGTCCGCTGCCCAGCGGAGCACGGAAGTAGAGCGGTTTCTCATGTGACGCTGGCAGGGCTTTCAGCAACAGCTCATAGTGGAAGTAGCCCAACTCTCCATTATGAAGAATGAGACGAGCGGTGGACTCGCCCGCACGCAGGGGCTGGTACTCGAATGAAAGAGTGGCCTGCGATTGAAATAAAAAATATAAAAAAATGGAACAATCATGCATTGGTTTGATACAGTGTATATGCCAAGGAAAAGCAATCATAGTCAACATAATAGATGAAGTCCGGTGCATGTAGACCCACCTTGGAGAGTGCAGGCGTAGAGAGCTGTGGAGGCACACTGACGTCTGGGCTGCGGCACTCAGCGCTGAAGTACAGGCTAATGGGGAGGGGGTTCTCCACCCTGACAGAGGCAGAGGCTGTCTGGCGCACCGGAGTCACCATTTCTATGGTGCTGATGACACCCGGCGCTGTGGCCTTGAAGTTCAGGTAGTAGAACAGGTACTCCCCTGTAGACTCATTACGGAATGTCACCTGGAGGGCAGGGAGGAGAGGAGGACATGACACATATGGTTGAATACAAAGTCAACTTGGAAAACAGCTGCCTTTGGCATTCTTCATCTATGCGTAGGTAGTAGGGTGGTATTGCAATCTAAACGTACCTGAAGATAGATAGTATTCTCCTGTTTGCATTTATAATGTAAATCTCCACTCACCTTGGCGTTGTACTGGCCCTCCTTGTAGGTGAAGAAGGAGACCTTGTAGTCCCTCTTGGCCAGAGCTGGTACATCCAGATAGTCCAGACCCTTCAGGGACACAGTGCTGTCTGGCCTCTCTGGCTTGATGATCTCCACTACAGCACGGAACCTGCATACAGAACAGCTTAACACTGGCAGCTAACAAAGTTGTGGCAACGTATTAGGAGTGTAGTGTGACAGAGGTAGAATCAGTAAGCAGCTGATAGACATCCTGCTAAAGTAGTAGTGTGGTACCTCTGAGGTTTGGAGAGCCAGTTGTGGACATGCACCATCTCAGTGTACTGGGTCTTGGAGGGCATCTCGTGGGTGATGGTGGCCACAGCCTTGGGGGCCTCAGCAGTGCCATGCAGAGTGTAAAGCATGCCTGTCCCATCTGGAAAGGAGAAGAACACAGAGCCCTGGAAGAGGGAGAGGAGGATAGTAGGGTCAAGCAACAGAGACAAATCACAGCATGCATCTTTAGTACATAATGCTATAATATACTCTATCGTATAAACATATTATTTGACAAAAACCAAAATATGTTAATTGTCGGCAACAATAAGAATTTGTCATCATATTCAAGGCTCTTCACACTACAAACATGCTCAGTCTGAGCCAAGAAAGCGCTGCAGTGAAAGTGTCTCACCAGGTGCTTCTTGCCATCGGCGGTCGTGACCATGGGTTTGTATGTGATCTCATAGGCCTTGTTCTGCTGGTAGGGCTCGATGATGAAGGAGGGAGGGCCACTCCAGTGCTCCCCCTCGATCAAAGGTTTCAGAGTCCAGCGCTGGTTAGTGCGGTTGGACAGGGTCAGTGACTGAATGTGCTGACAGCGCACCTGACACACAAAATGCAACACCTGTGAAGAATGAGAGGGGTAGAGAAAGGGGAACAAGAGATAGGGAACAATCATTAATAAACACACTTTTTTTAAATTATTTTTTTAATGCAGATTTTGGGTCTATATTGTGCACATGCGTTGTATTAAAGAGATTTCCAAGCAGCTAAGCCTTACCTCTTTGGTGACCGGGGGTATGATACAGGAGCCTGCCAGTGTGAGTTTGATGGGCTTGGCTCCTTCTATAGAGCAGGGCAGGTCATCATATCTCAGCTCCTGGCTCAGCTCCACAGGGGAAAAGGTCACCTCAAACGGCACCTCCATGCCGGGGCAGATGTAGCCCTCTACAGGGGTGATGGAGAAGTCTCTGCCAAACCTCTTTATTTCCCACTGGAACCTGACACAGTCACAAGGATGCATACATCAATACAACGGATGCTAGATAATGGCTATTAATACCTACAGTATTAGTATGTAGCAGTAGCATAGCATACTTTACAATTTTATGACCATCAATAATAGGAGAGCATACAGTATCTAGCAAAGTATTCAACTTTATCATGAGTACTGGTATGTGTGTCAGATTAATGAAAATGTAATTGGTTATTTTTCAGTTTTTAAACAACTAATTGACTGACATCGTTTCAATGATTTGAATTCCATTTCTTTCGTGGGGTTTCTGAGCTCAATGCGCAGTTTCTCTAGAGAAATCAGATCAAGCCCGAACTGTGCGATGTAGTATGGGGTTGTAGTTTCAAACATGCTAATATTCTACATAGTGCAGAAAATGTGGTAATTAACTACATAATCCATTACGTGCCTACTTGTCCGGTCTGTGTGGGCCCGGAGATGAAGAGAAGAGAGAAGAACGTGCGATCGAGAGGGATAGAGGGTCCTCTGTAGCTCAGCTGGTAGAGCACAGCGCTTGTAACGCCAAGGTAGTGGGTTTGATCCCCGGGACCACCCATACACAAAGAAATGTGTGCACGCATGACTGTAAGTCGCTTTGGATAAAAGCGTCTGCTAAATGGCATATTATTATTAGTTAGCAGTTACTTCGCAAGGTACACTACATGACCAAAAGTATGTGGACACCTTCTCGTTGAACATCTCATTCCAGCATCATGGGCCTTAATATGGAGTTGGTCCCCCCTTTGCTGCTATAACAGCCTCCACTCTTCTGGCTTTCCACTAGATGCTGGGACTTGCTTCCATTCAGCCACAAGAGCATTAGGGCCTTCCCCAAACTGTTGCCACAAAGATGGAAGCACAGAATCGTTTAGAATGTCATTGTATGCTGTAGTGTTAAGATTTCCCTTCACTGGAACTAAGGGGCCTAGCCCGAACCATGAAAAACAGCCCCAGACCATTATTCCTCCTCCACCAAACTTTACAGTTGGCATTATGAATTAGGGCAGGTAGCGTTCTCCTGGCATCCGCCAAACCCAGATTCCTCCGTCGGACTGCCAGATGTTGAAGTGTGATTCATCACTCCAGAGAATGCGTTTCCACTGCTCCAGAGTCCAATGGCAGCGAGCTTTATACCATTCCAGTCGACGCTTGGTATTGCGCATGGTGATCTTAGGCTTGTGTGCGGCTGCTCGGCCATGAAAACCCATTTCATGAAGCTCCCGAAGAACAGTTATTGTGCTGACGTTGTTTCCAGAGGCAGTTTGGAACTCGGTAGTGAGTGTTGCAACCGAGGACAGACGATTTTTACACGCTACAAGCTTCAGCACTTGGCGGTCCCGTTATGTGTGCTTGTGTGGCCTACCACTTCGCAGTTGTGCTGTTGTTGCTCCTAGATGTTTCCAATTCACAATAACAGCACTTACAGTTGACCGGGGCAGCTCTAGCAGGGCAGAAATTTGACGAACTGACTTGTTGGAAAGGTGGCATCCTATGACGGTGCCACGTTGAAAGTCACTGAGCTCTTCGGTAAGGCCATTCTACTGCCAATGTTTGTCTACTGCATGGCTGTGTGCTCGATTTTCTATACCTGTCAGCAACGGGTGTGGCTGAAATAGCCAAATCCACTAATTTGAAGGGGTGTCCACATACTTTTCTATATATAGTGTATCTCTACCAGCAGCATTGCAGTTCTTGACTCAAACTGGTGTGCCTGGCACCTACTACCATACCCCATTCAAACACACTTAAATATTTTGTCTTGCCCATTCACCCTCTGAATGGCACACATACGCAATCCATGTCTCAATTGTCTCAAGGCTTAAAAATCCTTCTTTAACCTGTCTCCTCCCCTTCATTTACACTGATTGAAGTGGATTTAACAAGTGACATCAATAAGGGATCATAGCTTTCACCTGGATTCACCTGGTCAGTCTATGTCATGGAAAGAGCAGGTGTTCTTAATATTTTGTACACTCAGTGTAAGTATGCCTTATTTACTTAAGAAGAACTGCTAAAATAGTGATTTTGTCAGACAGCATAGGCAGCAGCTCTACAGATGAGATGACTTGGAATGAAATAATAAAGTCATCAAATGAAACAAATGTAATATACACAACCAACTGAAATATTTTATTAAAGTAAGGTGAATAAATGATGGTTAATAAGTGATAAACAGTAATGGGCAGTCACTACCATCATGGGACAATTTTTTTTATCCTGTGTTGTTACAGCATTCAACCCACATAATGCATAGTGCAAAACTAAAAAACAAAACCGTGATTGTTTTTTAAGAATCGAACCGAAACCGAATAGACCTTAAAAAGCACTAATGACTCAGCACCTACCTGGCTCCGATGTCTCCAGTGTTCTGCATGATGATGCGTCTTGTGACCTTGCAGCGCTGAGCAACAGCTCCAAAGGGCAGGTAGTCCTGGTCCAACTTGACCTCCACTCCCAGACAGCAGCCCTTCAGTACCAGCAGGGGGCGGACCGTGCCCAGACACTCAAACTGCAGCTCTGACGTGAAGGGAGCCATGCGCTGCCTGGGAGAGAACAGCACCTCAACCAGACAGCGGCCCCCAAACGGCTTCAGGGTCACCTCACCTGGCGGGTTCACTGACAGCACCTACGGTACAGGAGAGGAACATGTCTCATCACACTCACTCACACAGGTAGAACTCATCTAGAATGACAACCCCATGAAAGGGAACACTATTTCTGGCTCAACTATGTTCTCTTTATATTCTGAGCAAAACATCTGTTCATCTAGCAACTGCACTACTTGTGTGTCAGTGAGAGGGAATAGTGTCAGTGGTGTGGAGGTGGTTGTGAGGCGTACCCTGGAGTCCAGCAGAGTGTGTACAGTAGAGCTGAGTAGCAGGGAGAAGGTTAGAGAGGAGTGGCTATTGTTCACCAGGGGAATCACCCTCCTGATCTTCTGACCAATCTGCAGAGCCCCCAGATTCACCACCTTGTGTCTGGGGTCCTCAAAGTCAACCTGTTAGGAGGAGGTTCACAGGGGAGGTATGCATAAAGACACACAAGCATGAACACACACACACGCAAGCTCCCCACACGCACATTGTTACACACACAAGCCACATCTCACCTTCATCTCAATGCCTTGACCTAGGATCTCGACCACCTGCTTGGCACAGTCATTGATCTCGAAGACCACTCTCTCATGGTAGCGCATGGCCTCCCGTGGGTAGAAGGTGATGGGCACCTCCATGGACCCACCAGGGGGCAGCACCTCTGGCTGGAAGCCCACCTCCAGGAATGGGGTGTTGGAGAACTGACAATCTAGACTGGAGAGGACAATAACCTGCTATGGCAGCTCCCTCATTGAGAAACACTGATATATAAAGTCTGCCATTGCCTGCCAGTGCAGTGAGGCCCTCTGTCTTTTTCATTACATTTCATTTGGTAGTTTGAGAGGAAATTAAATGGTCTGACAGCGAGCCTGACAATGGATATATGCTGTTTTGTTTAGGTTTTGAAGTTGTCGCTCAAACACAGGCAAAGTGCCAGGCAACCTGTCAGCTGTTACCTGATCCCTCTCTCTCCCTTGTTGCTTATGATCAGTGTATGTGTGGCTGGCACCATCCCCGCACAGTAGATAAAGCTCATTCCAAAGTTGTGTTTCAAGAAGGAGAAATCCAGGCCAGGGGCAACTGCTGAACCCAGGATGGAGCAGCTGAACACAGGCCCATTCTTAATCTGAAGAGGAGAGGGATGGAATCATTCATAGAATGGAATCATACACACAGTAGACATGAGGAAAAGGGAGAGCAATTATGCTAAGATGAGATGCTCACCTTGATGTTGAGGCCCACGTCTTTGAGCACACACTTCTGCAGGGGGAAGAACGTGACAGTACAGCGGCTCTGTCTGCCCACCTCCACACTCCCCTTGTCTGTCTCCACCTTTAGGTGGCGCTGCATCTCCGCCGGGCCCCATAACTCATACTGAACATCCAGATTGAACTTCCCCAGGTTGGACACTAAGAAGGAACACAATGTCGTATCACTGAGCTCCACCTGAACAAGGACAAAAAGCAAAAGGAAGAAAAAAAATGTCATTCTAAAACTTCAAATAGGGCAAAGGGGAGAAAAATTACCTATGAATTTGCATGATCTTTGTATTTCACACATCAAAGGCTTAAGGGGAGTTCAGTGTATAATGAGCCTTTCTGTCTGTCTTAAGCTTTGAAGCCAACATTTCTCACCTGTTTGAAGTCCACCTGATGATGAGAGTTGCCTGGAGACAGCTCGGTGACGCCTCCCTCTGTGCTCTCACACTGCACACAGGCATTCATGCTGTAGCCCTCTGCCTTGACGTTCATATTGAGGGGCTGGACCTTCCCCTTCACCTGGACCAGCAGGTTAAAGGTCACCACTCCATCTTGTGTCGGGGTGAAAGACACAACCACAGGGAACCTGCAGGACACCAGGAGAGAGAGGATGTTTTGTGTCAAGGGTATCACTCTGACAATACATTAACTGTAACAACAGACAATCCCTCTTAGGCTGATACACCATTCTATTAAATTAGATTCAGGTGTATCACCGATGAAGTTGAGGTACACACCTGTCTTTAGGTGGCACCACCCCCTCCATGGGCTCCAGCTGCAGGCTGTCTAGGAAGGCCTCTGAGTAACGGGACGTTTCCTCAATGAAGAACTGAAAGGGCTGATTCTCTCCATTCAGCAGATACACTGTTTGGTGAGCCTTGCGTCCTACAGAGACATTCACAGAGAGACATGTTGTCACAACAAATGTTCACAGGTTATATATATATATAAGACACTGATGTTGTGTTTAGGATAATGTTATTAAGAATGATCTCATATGATAATGATTTGAGTGCAGTGGGTATTTTCTACCTTAGTTGCTGTATTGCACTTACCCACTAGCAGGTTTCCCAGGCTAAGATGGGCATGGTCCATGTAGACAACAGGCTCACTAGCTGTTCCAACCAGCAGGAAGGGCACAGACAGGTTCTGATCTGGGATCAGGAAGGTCCAGAATGACTCCACTGTATCTGGCTCCTGGGCCTGGAACTCAAAGGATACCTGCAGCGGGAAGAATTAGAGATTTTACAGCTGACATTTTCTCACAGCAAAATAGTAAAACAGCAGAGAACAGGGTTCGCTGGAGCTGCACTAAAAGCAGTAAGAGTAGCTGACATTTTATCAGTGTTCAAGCACCTCAAAGTGAAGCACAATATACATAAGCCATACCTCTACTTTCTTCCCAGGCTGAATGGAGTTATTGGGTGTGAGACATTGGAAAGGGGAGGCACCTGCATCTTCACATCTCCAGATAAAGGAGTAAAGCTTGTTGGTGGGGTTTACAATGCTGAACTGCCTGTACAGGGGAAAAGATACAATGAAATATACCATTCAAAAGTAGTGAACATGTTTATGGTATGAGTGATCAACCCACCTAGGGATGGAGGAGCCAATGCCCACAGATCTGAACTCTATGACCCTGGTGTTGGGGTCCAGGGGGGCCCTGGGCAGTGCCCCATGAGGACCACGTAGTTCTGGGTTACGTCTGTTTCCACTGATGTAGTCTGAGTCCTCCAGGTGGAAGTGGCAGTAGGGCAGTAAACTGCGACCACACACCACCATGGTGGGGCTCTGCTCGTCTTTCAGGTTGGGGATGCTGTCATAAAACAGACACATAAATAAAGTATTTGAGATGATGGAAGTGTGAAAGCACAGACACATCAAAAATTAACTCTGCCTTGATTTGTAAGTGTGTGTCTGTGTTCGTGATCCTGACCTGCAGACCAGCCTGGCCTCACACTCTGCTACCTCCAAGGGGGAGAACTTGATCCTGAAGGTCTGGGTGGCTCCAGGGCTGATGATGCCCACACTGGGCTCCACGGAGAAGGGTGGCAGGTCTGGGTCACCCAGCATCAGGCATGACACGCTCTCTAAAGAGCTGGCAGGTCTGACCCCTAATCTACTGCTCTGACAGGAGCGAGGGCTAACGTCTGGAAATATAGAGCACAGATCATGTGAGTTATAAGGTCTGCTGATATACAGTACATACAGTATATTGATAGCATATTTTTACATTTTCCCTCAAAACCAGAAGGCAGTGTCTGAAAGTTACCTCCATGATCAAAGTGGACACCTTTTCCATATTTGTCCATCAGGACCTGCCATGAGTACTCCAGCTTCACACTGCCTTTGTTTACCATCTGGAGTCTGCACACCATGGGACATGAGGAAGATTAGAGGAACAGATTTACATATGATAGGCACAGAAACCCAAACAGACAGTAACTTACGGGAACACTCTGGTCTGATAGAGCAGTGTGTCCTTGAAGCGGATGGTCTCTGCGTTGCAGGTGAACTTGGCATAATCACACACAGCACTGATGCGCAGCTCCGTCTCCCTGAATGACTTCTCTACTACACAGTGGACTGGCTCTGGGTCTGTCTCAATCACCTGGGGACAGACAGGACACACTCAATTTAAATTGAATTGCCTCTCTTTCCTTCATGGGTCATTATACACATAAATACAGTGCAAGTAAAGCTTCTGCATAAATTAAATGTGTTTCCATTTTATATATAAATTTAAAAAATCATGAAAGATTCTGCTTTATCCTAGCTGCTTTATGACTGGGCGGTCAGTCACAGATCTGTGTGTGACTTCACCTTCTTCTTTGAAGGCTGTTGACTCCCCACTTGTTTTCCAGAGTCGACCCACTTGACGGTCCTGAGGCGGTCATCCCAGTCTGGCACCTGGTCCACAGGCTGCTGGAACACCACCCTGCACAGCTTACACTTCATAGGCTGGGCGGTCAGCACCACAGGCTGCTCTGAGCAGAAGGTCACGGTCACCTCCTTGGCACAGCCTGCATGGAGGTGGCCCACCTGGGGGGAGAAGCAGACCTGGGGGCCGTCGGCCGGCCACTCAAACCTCAGCACGTTACTGCTGCTCAGGTTGGTCATGGTGAAGGTCTCCTGGTAGGGCCTGGACACGTGACAGTCTCCAAAGAACAGCAGGTCCCCCTTACCTGGAGACAAAATACAAGGGAGGGACACACATTAAACTAAGGTCCTGAAGTAGTGGAAAACATGTATACCTTTGCAGTATCATTCTAAAAAGCTTTGAGGCCTTACCATCTGGTGAGCACTCCTTTTGCTGAGCATTGCTGTTGATGTTGTCCAGGGAGATGACGTCATGGTAGCCCTCCCCCAGCAGCCGCACCACTGTCTCCTCATACTGGTTGTCCACCACTAGGAGGCGCATGTTGGCCTCGAAGCTCTGAGCCACCACGGGACTAAACTCCGCCTCAAACTCTGCCTGCTGGCCGCCTAACAGCACCAAGGAGGCTGTGTGCGCCATCTGTCTCTCTGAGGGGAGAGGAAGGATGGATAGGAAGAACTTTAGAGTTGAAACAATCTATACAGTGTCTCTATACAGTGTCTCTGCTGGTTTTCTCATGGACCAGTTGTATACCGTACCAACCTGTCCTGGCCTCGGCCTCTATGTGTGATGAGGAGATGTTGCTGCAGTTGGTGTTGGGAGCAGCTCTCAAGGTGAACACCCCCATCTTATCCAGAAGATCAATGTGAATCTGCAAAGCAGTCAAATAATGCCAATATATAAACAGCACTGTTCCATTTAATCACAACTATTTCAATTAAAACGTCATATAAACAGAGGCTGTTCTCACATGAGCAGGTACATTGGCATCATTCTTCAGCACCAGGGGCAGGGTCTGGGCCCGGCCCACCAGCAGCCGTTTGAACTGCAGCAGAGGGTGTCCACGGCTGGTCCTCAGGACTGGTCTCAGAACAGTCACACTGGGCAGATTGCCATCACCCATTAAATCAAACACCAACACCTTCGACTTGGCCATGGGTTGCAGACTAGGAAATACAGGAGAGTGAATGATGAGAGAAATGTTTACCCACACACACACGTATGCACACACACACACACACACACGTATGCACACACATACACGCAAACTGAGGTATGTACCTGGTAGCTCCCTCCAGGGTGGCCTCAAACACAGCATGGTAAGTCTGCATGGTCTGAGGGGTGAAGGTGATGATGGCAAAGGCATGAGAGTGACTGGGTATAGACAGCCTGCCAGGCATCAGCTCAAACACCTCCGTGCTACGCATTGACATCTGAAACAGACAAACAGCCACTGCTCGCACTGCTGCCATACAGCCTACAAACACACTCAATCTCTGTTTCATAAACATGTTCATCAGAAAACCACCCATACCTTAGTAAGGACAGGTTTGACTGCGAGGCTCAGCTCGCAGGGCACCTTGCCGTTGTTGTTGAGGCGGAAGCGAGCTTTGGCTGGATGACCCACCAGAACATTATTGAAAACAAATTTGTTCTCGTCCTGAATATAGATGCCCATGGAATCACGGAACTGCTCACAGTACAGCATGGTGCTGGTCTTGCAGATACGGTGCTCCTCAAAAATAGAGGCAATGTCTTTGTATGCAATCCCTGTAGAAAAAAATGAGAATTAGCAGGAATTTGGAAAGTGAGTCCCAATTTCATCAGATCAGAGAATCGCTCACGGCCAGGGGTAACGTTATTTCACATTTCCTTCTCAACCATTGCTAACTCATATACACACCTGACATGCAGACTTCGGCCACAAGCCGGTAGGGGATACCACCTGGATTGTCTGAGGGGTCTCGGTCAGTGATGTCCAGGGCCAGGCACTCCTGCCAGCGTCCTGCCTGCTCTGCCACACAGTCTACCGTGACCACCTGGTGAGCGCCCGGCGCCAGGATACCAAAACCAGGCACCAGTGAGAACACGCCCATGGTGAAACGGGCCTGCACACAGGGGAAGGGAGGGAGGCATGGGGATGGGGCAGTGGTGTATTAGGGATACATATTCAAATGTTTCTGTTCATTAAGGTCATTTAAATCTGCTGAAGTTAGTCCCAAATTTGTAGGTATGTTGTAATACTAGGAGGGACTCTCACCAGAGTGGACATGCCCATGTCCTTCTGGATGGATTCAGCTCGCCGCACTTTGTTTCCAGTGAGGGGTTTAGCAGAGTGGTTCTCACGGGATGTTCTCTTCCCCACAATGCTGCAGTGAGACATAAAGTGGCATTCCATGACTTTGGGTTATACAGAGAAAGAGCTCAAATACAGGAAGTATTAGGAGTTGAGATACAGTGAGGTCAGAGTTCATAGTGGTGATCATACCCTCTCCTCTGGGCAGGCTGTGGCAGGTCTTTACACATCCTGCTGATGTTGAAGCGGATCTCAAAGTCTCCCTTGTTCTCTATGGTGAAGGTTTGTGTTTTGCGGCAGCCGTATACTAGTGGCCCAAAGTTAATGTCACTGGAGGGCATGATGTTGTATTTCGAGAAGAGGGACTGGATTGATACTTTGATGGGAATGATGGCAATGGTCTCTCCACCCTCTGCAATATTTGGCTCAATCACCTGTGAGAAAAAGCAGACATCTTTAACGCACCAGTGGATACTGAAACTGAAGCAGCATACTACTGAAACTCTTCACATTGTTGTAAAATGTTACAAGCACAAGTTTTATGGTTGAGTCTACTAACTTGACAGCGCAGAATTGGCTGCTCTCGGATGGACACCTCCTTGTTGTGGCGGAACACAAACTGGACGCATGTGGGCCGATCGTTGGGGTTGAGGGAGCCCTTCTGGGGGGTGATGGTGAAGATCTGGTTCAGGTCTGGCATGGCTGGATCTGTGGCCTCCAGGATGAACCTGGGAAAGTGGAGGCAGAGGGAGGGGTGGGGGATAATGTGCTTAATTTGGTAAAAAATTATATGATTAATAGTTAGCTTTAGGATAGTGTATGTTGATTGATACTCACTTGAAAGCTATCTCATATTTGCCCTTGTTTTTCATGTTCACAGAAAGCTTGACCTCCTCAGATACTTTGATGGTTCCAAAGTCTAGACCACCGTCAGCCCCTAAAATACAAATACACATACTGTAGATCAAGGGAAACACCATTCATTTCCCTTTCAAAAACATGAAAAGGAATTCATCCAAATCAAAGGGAGCTGGTAAAATGATGCATGTGTGAAAGAGACAAGTGTATCTGTCTGTGAGAACTCCTGTAAAGACCTTTAGGGAAGGTGATGTCCAGAGCCACGTTGTAGGCCTCAGCAAGGATCTGTATGTTCTCTGTATGGACAATACCCAGGATGTTCTCCACATCGGACACCTAACACACACAGCAACACACAGACAGAAAGTCACACAACAACAATATGAGATAAACAGGAATAATGCAACAGTCGATGATACTAAACATCAAATCAATCAAATCAAATCAAATCAAATCAAATTTTATTGGTCACATGCGCCGAATACAACAGGTGCAGACATTACAGTGAAATGCTTACTTACAGCCCTTAACCAACAGTGCATTTATTTTAAACAAAAAAGTAAGAATAAAACAACAACAAAAAAGTGTTGAGAAAAAAAAGAGCAGAAGTAAAAAATAAAGTGACAGTAGGGAGGCTATATATACAATAGAATAAAGTGACAGTAGGGAGGCTATATATACAGGGGGGTACCGTTGCATAGTCAATGTGCGGGGGCACCGGCTAGTTGAGGTAATATGTACATGTGGGTAGAGTTAAAGTGACTATGCATAAATACTTAACTCGAGGCGAATGGCTCTCTTCAGGTTGATGGGCTTCATGGCTCTGAAATGCATCTGCAAGCAGAACTCAGAGTGTGGCAGGATGATGCCCTGGTCCTGAGACACACTGAACTCATCGCCCAGCACCTCCAGCCCACTCAGCCTCCAGGCTGCAGGCAGCAGCGTGTTGTTACGCAGGCACAGATTCCTTGTGTCCTTCCTGAGGTTCACAACCAGCACAGGGAGAATGGAGTATAGTGGCGAAAGGAAAATCAACAGAAAACTACCATGACGAAAACAAAATCCTGTACTTTGAAACTGACACATGTTAAAAAGCACTACAGTAGCTCTGTGCAATGTGGACTACAGCATTCATTAATTCCCTGACCTGTACAGTAGAATCTTATCAAAATGCAGCTGCTTGGGTTCAATCTCGAGCTCGGGCCGGACCCCACGACAGGAGAAGCGGAAGATGGTTGGCTCTGGGTTCTCTTTGATACAGCACACCACACTGTCCTCTATCTGCCCCAGGCTCGTAGGGTACGCCCACACGGTCAGCTCCTGCCAGGGCACAACCGTGGATAAGTGGTACACTGTGATTATCACACAAAGTTTCATAACCAGTACAAAATGTGGTTATTACAGTTGTATACTGATAAAATAAAAAATAAATGGATGTGAAACTGTTCATTGATAATATTAGTGACAATGACACCTTCTTGGTATGTTTGTATCACAACTCTGACAGCTCAGACTACATTCTACTATGTTATGAGTAGTTCTGATTGGCTACTTGTCTCTCGTTGGGTTTGAGGGTCATGTTGGGAGGGTCCAGTAGGTAGGTGGTAGCCTTGGTGTCATGCTGGAAGCAGAAGTGAATCTCAGCATCCAGTGGGGAGTTGTTGTGTATCACCAGCCTTTCGATGTTCTCTGGATACTTCCTCTCTTTATACCTATGGTAACACACAGGCATGCATCACACATGCGTCCTCTATGAAGTTACAGTGAATAAAGTAGGGTAGTGGAAGGTAATCTCCCCTTACCTATCTCTGGTCTTCCCACAGAGCAGCGGGCCAAACTCATAGAGGCCAGAGCGAATGATGTAGGTCTTCTGCAGCACCTCATCAGACTGAAGGACCCTCTTACTGTGGGCAAACACCATCCTGGGAGAGACCAAACGACACACAACACATCATTTACAGTGATAATAAAACATATAAACCTATAATAAAACTTAGAACAGCTCTGACAAAATTCAGTTAAAGGCCCAGTGCAGAACTCTCTTTCTTATTGGTCTATTAACTAATTTACCGCCTGGTGATGTCACCAGGCAGTCCAAAACTCCATCCCACTGAAACATGCTGAAATTTCAGGCTGTCTTTTCAAGCAGCTCTTACACTAAAAGGGAATTATCCTAATTTTCACAATTTCACAGTATTATTCCAACCTCATAGTGTGGAAATATATACAGTGCATTCGAAAAGTATTCAGACCCCTTGACTTTTTCCACATTTTGCTACGTTACAGCCTTATTCTAAAATGGATGAACAAAAAAAAAATCCTCATCAATCTACACACAATATCCTATAATGACAAAGCAAAAACAGGTTTTTAAATTTTTGCTAAGTTATATGAAAACAAAAACAGAAATACCTTATTTACATAAGTATTCAGACCCTTTGCTATGAGACTCTACAACTTGATTGGACTCCACCTGTGGTAATTTCAATTGATTGGACATGATTTGGAAAGGCACACACCTGTCTATATAAGTTCCCACAGTTGACAGTGCATGTCAGAGAAAAAGCCAAGCCATGAGGTCGAAATAATTGTCAGTAGAGCTCCGAGACAGGATTGTGTCGAGGCATAGATCTGGGAAAGGGTACCAAAAAATTTCTGCAGCTTTGAAGGTCCCCAAGAACACAGTGGCCTCCATCATTCATAAATGGAAGAAGTTTGGAACCACTAAGACTCTTCCAAAAGCTGGCCGCCCGGCCAAACTAAGCAATCAGGGGAGAAGGGCCTTGGTCAGGGAGGTGACCAAGAACCCGATGGTCACTCTGCCAGAGCTCCAGAGTTCCTCTGTGGAGATGGGAGAACCTTCCAGAAGGACAACCATCTCTGCAGCACTCCACCAATCAGGCCTTTATGGTAGAGTGGCCAGACAGAAGCCACTCCTCAGTAAAAGCCACATGACAGTCCGCTTGGAGTTTGCCAAAAGGCACCTAAAGGACTCAGACCATGAGAACCACGATTCTCTGATCTGATGAAACCAAGCTTGAACTCTTTGGCCTGAATGCCAAGCGTCACGTTTGGAGGAAACCTGGCACTATCCCTATGGTGAAGCATGGTGGTGGCAGCATCATGCTGTGGGAATGTTTTTCAGCGGCAGGGACTGGGAGACTAGTCAGGATCGAGGGAAAGATGAACGGAGCAAAGTATAGAAATTTCCTTGATGAAAACCTGCTCCAGAGCGCTCAGGACCTCAGACTGGGGCGAAGATTCACCTTCCAACAGGACAACGACCCTAAGCACACAGCCAAGACAACGCAGGAGTGGCTTTGGGACAAGTCTCTGAATGTCCTTGAGTGGCCCAGCCAGAGCCCAGACTTGAACCCGATCTAACATCTCTGGAGAGACCTGAAAATAGCTGTGCAGCGACACTCCCCATCCAACCTGACTGAGCTTGAGAGGATCTGCAGAGAAAAATGGGAGAAACTCCCCAAATACAGGTGTGCCAAGCTTGTAGCGTCATACCCAAGAAGACTCGAGGCTGTAGTCTCTGCCAAAGGTGCTTCAACAAAGTACTGAGTAAAGGGTCTGAATACTTATGTAAATGTGATATTTCATTTATTTATTTTTTATATACACTACCGGTCAAAAGTTTTAGAACACCTACTCATTCAAGGGTTTTTCTTTATTTAATTTTTTACTATTTTCTACATTGTAGAATAATAGTGAAGACATCAAAGCTATGAAATAACACATATGGAATCATCCCCACTCAGACCACTCCCAGACAGTCCTAGCAAAATTCTTGTTTGAGAAATTGCTCTTTGCTAAGCTATTTGTGTTTCTTTTTGACCATTTTAATTGAAAACAATCACAGTAAGGTACTTGTTACACAGAAATGATTTATTGAGATAAAGACATCTGCATTGGACCTTTAAAAGCTGCAATATGTAACTTTTTGGGTGACCTGACCAAATTCACATAGACATGTGTGTTATAGATCTGTCATTCTCATTGAAAGCAAGTATAAGAAGTGGTAGATCTGTTCTATGTGTGCTATTTCTATGCTTCCCAATTCTTAAGTTTTGTCTTTTAGTCTTTTACTTTTGGTTTTGTACACCAGTTTCAAACAGCTGAAAATACAAATATTTTAGGATATGGAAAATATATTTCACAGCGGTTTAGATGGTACAATGATTCTCTACATTATACTTGCTTGTTTTGTCACATAAACTGAAATTAGGCTAACTATTTGAATTTTAGCAACCAGGAAATGGCAGGGCGACTTCTGCATAGCGCATCTTGAAGTATATAAATTGGTTCTATTTCACAAGGACTGAAAAACACAAATGTATTTTAGAAACAAATAACAATACTCACTTTACGTCTTTGCTGATGGATGGATATGCACAGATGCCTCTACAGTACATTTGGTACCGTCTCTTTGTACCCAACAACTCAAAGTTCAGTGTTTGGTCAAACTTGCCAGGCAATTGAGAGTGGAACCAGATCTTCAGGCTCACCTCTCCATTGGGTGGGACATTCCAGCGGAATGTTGTGAGTCTATAGAAAACAACACATTTAAGTCACATTTATGCACATTAGTGTGTATTCTTCTGTAGTGTATAGATGATCTCACCGCTGGTTGCGCTCCTGTTGGGACTCCTGTTGGCACTGCTCAGTGTCAGATAAGGGAGTCACAGCGTTGAGAGGAGGGGAGCGAGAGTCATTGGACCTGGCCCCCTTTTTGGCTGGGGTGCGTCTCTTGTCTTTCTGACTCTCTCTGCCTGTGTCTGCCTTCTTCCCCCGTCCTTTTGTAGGGGTCACCACTTCTTCCTGTAAGACCCATTCAGTTAGACCTGGCTATGATTAATAGCTTCATTAATTAAACCAAGAGGCCGCAGTGGCTCGTAGGTCTGTGTACCCACATCCATACCCACACAAGCAATTTTGTGAGCAAAACATTTTAGTGGTTTTAGAGTTAATTTCCTGCAATTCTACACATTTTCCCCAGGGGGCGTAGAGAAGATTTTGCAATTTTATAACACATTTCCTGCAATTCTACACATTTTGCCATAGGGTTGAGAGAAATGCTTGCAGTTTTTAATATGTTATTTGAGTGAGAGTGACTAACAAAATCAATGGGGGCCCCCTAGGCGGTAATTCAACCATGAATAAGTTTAGATAGCTGGCCGCTAGACTAACTTACAAATCTAAACATTGTTAGCTGACATGTGCAAATTGAGTGACTGTCAGTGAGTGACATAAGAAAAAAACTGCTGATGCACAACCAAATTTCAAAATTGCACCTTGTGTATTCTATTCTAACTCTCAACAGTAAGTAGAGATCCCGACTGAGTTGGGCCGCCAGTTGCCCATCCCTGGTCTAGACATAGTGTTATTACGGTATCATCTATGGTGTTTTTCAGAGTGAGCAAGAAGTTAAAAATAAACGAGTGAATATGGTGGCAATAGTGGTTTGATGTGTCAGGTTATGCTATTTTCCATGGAGGACCAATTATACCTTGACTGAGCCTTCAGCTTCAGCCTCCATGTCTGCAGCTTTCTTCTCCCCTGCTGGATCCTCTGGGACTGAGGGCACCATGAAGGTGAAGCAACTAGTGATCTGCTGTGCACTGGGCACAGGCCTCTTCTTAGGGTAGGGGATGACAGAGAAGATAGTGGAGGGGGGGATAGGAGGGCCCTTGGGTCCCAGCCCTAAACCATCCAACACCTGAGGTACAGAGTAAGTCGACATCATTTAAAGCTTTTTATCAAAGTTCGTCATAAGGAGAAAATATAAAATGAAGGGACAATATTACTGCAATAAATAAGGAAATAAGTATCTACCTCTTCAAGAGGCGGCAGTTTGTTGCTCTTCAGGATCTCTATTCCGCTAAGATAGTCCCTCCCAGTAACAGAAAGGATGATGTGGGGCACAGTCTCTGGTGCAGCCTCCCTGTCCCCTCCCTCAGACCCCTCCACTGCTAGAAGGGCCTGGCTAGGGGCTGGAGACACCAGCTTCATGTCTGTGGCATCTGCCTTCAACTTCTCCTTCTCCAAGCGCTCCTTCTCCTTCTCCACCTTCTCCTTCTCCCGCTCTTTCTTGGTCTTCTTGCCGGAGGGGGCCTGTCTCTCAGGGACTACTTCCTCTGGCTCCTGGATGTTGTCTTCAGAGAACAGGGGCTGGAGGAGTTGACCCTGGGCTCGGTCCCAGAACTGTAGAATGTGGAGAAGCTGGGGCTGGCTCTGCTCGTAGAGCTTGAACCGAGACAACAGCAGTCGGTCACCCTCACTAGACTACAGGGAACAGAAAGAGTAGAGGAGTTTCAATTATAGGCCAGTTAAACAGCTATTAAATATGTTTTATTCCTCTGGGTGTCAGCTATAAATGATATGAGGTACAATCGTAAAAGGAGGAGAGGAACTAGTTTATATCCAAAAGTTGTTTGTCACGTAATGGCTGTGCGTTTTTATGCTTCACATGGTATTTATGAGGGTATCATACCAGCTCTCTCTCTGGGTCCACGTTTGGTAATGGAGACTCCTCCTGCCCCCCTGCCTTGCCCTCTTTGGGCTTCTTCTTTTTGGGTCCCTCCTCTGGTTCCCTAGTGCCCTCTGTGGGAGAGTCTTTATACTCCTTGCCATCAGCACAGGAGGACATTTTTCTCCCATCTTTCACCGGCTGATCCAGTTTTGTCTCTGAGCGTAGAGCACTTGCAGACTGTCAGTGTAAAGTGGAAATATAGGAGGAAAACATTAAGATATGTCATTTATTATGCTACCACTTCTCCTATGCACTGCAATGAGCACCGTGTGATGCAGTTGTTGTTTTTTTACACATTTTTTTATTTGTTCCAAATAGGACAATCAACAATTACATAAATACTATTTTCTTGTGTCCCCCCCCCCCCCCCAACTCAAAGATAAAGACAAAAACATAACAACAACCAAACATTAACAACAGAGAAAAGTCTCCACATTTCCACATTAAATAACAATTATAATATACAGTCACAGATAATACAGATTACGCTTCAACTATAGCCAATATTCACATAATTTTTTTTGAGAATATACAGATTTACAGTTCCAATGATTCTACAATACCGTGTGACACAGTTGACTGACCTGTTTTCCTCCAAGCTGACTCTTCTTCCCTGATGAGTCCTCCTTGGCAGGCTCCTTCTTGCCTTTCTTGTTTTTCTTTTTCATCTCCTCTTCCTCTCTCACTCTCTCTAGCTCCTCTTGTTGTCTCCTCTCCTCCTGTTCCCTTTCTGCCCGCTCTTGTTCCCTATAACATGTACATACATTTACATTAACATAAATTATTCACATCCCAGTCTATTTAAACCATACTCTCTAAGTAAGACACATTCTGTACACATTGTTTAACATTGCTATACTTAATATGTGCGTAAGCATTTTTCATCCAATACCTGCGTTTTCGTTCTCTCAGTGCCACAAGGTGTCTGAGGTCGATGCGCTCTTTCTCCTCCTCTGGCAGGGCATCATACTCCTCCTCATCCATTTCTTGCAAGCGCAGCTTTTCCTTCTCAGCCTGCTCCCTCTGTAAGACCTCTGTGAAGGAAGGAGGAGTATTATTACCAGTCACCGTAGTAATTACCTCAAACTATTGTTTAGTTTAGCACAGCTCCCAGCTCCTTTGGCCTAGCTTGTCCTCACCCTCTGCCTCTCTCTGTGCCCTCTCCTTGGCCTTGAAGGCATAGTAGTTGTTGGAGAGGTTGACCATGTAGATGAAGGATCTGTTGTTGAAGGCCTTGAGGATGATCTGTAGGGTGCTGCTGGGGGAGAGGCAGTACAGCGTCTCCAGCCCGTCCATCACAACACCCCGGTGACAGTCACTTAGCTGCCAGGGGACAACACATACATCCCATTCATCATCAACACTCTCGAGTATCACACAGGAGATTCATTGAGGGTCCATCCCAGACCAAGGACTGGGAGGCCCATATAGGCTCTGTGTATCTCAGTACTGTACGACACCTGTAGTCTCTCTGAGAGGATGTCCACCAGCAGTTGGTCTGGTAGCAGGCAGCTCATCAGGCCCAGCTCTCCCACCTGGCTCCCACTGATGCTCAGCTGCCGGTGGATAGGACCACAACCCTGCACAGAAAGCAAGCACTAATAAGAGGCATTACAAACTGTATCCTAGCTTTGATATAGTAATACACACTATTGTGATGGTCTGTGGGTACCATTGAGGGGGCGGTGGGCTGTGATCCGTCGATCCTCTTCCCTCCCACAACACTGTTCTTGTTACGTGTAGAGATGGAGGAGGCTGGAGCCTTGGGGTCAATGACTTGACTGCCCTCAGCTGTGTGTTTGGCTACAGCCTCCACACTCAGAGTACCAACACCTTGACCAGCAGGCCCCATCACCTCCACCACTGCCTGGGCTGTACACACACACACACACACACATCACACCTACAGTTAGACAACTACAAACACAGCATATAGCCTAGTTCATCCACAGATAGTTTACTGTTAGGCTTTAATGCCATAAATTATAATTTGTTTGATACAGTTATCATTGGCTGAGCGGGTGAGACACACCAGAAATACCTATCCATTAAGCTGAGACTCACCGGCCTCCTCCACCCTCTTCTGAGCATGCTCCATAGCAGCCTTGGCACACAGCTCTCGGGCCCGCAGGCCAGCAGAGGTCATCCCTGAGGACAGTGCCTCCAGCACCACAGCATCAATGCTCAGACACGCTGCTCCATAGTATTTGGCCAGAGTCACTGCTGTGCCTGTTTTACCTGCACAGAGATACATGCAAATGGTTGAAAGAAAAAAATGAGTGTTGAAAGTGTTGAATTACTTTGGTGGATGTGCCACTCTTTACCTGAGAGGGGAGCCCCATGCACAATGATTGCGATGCCCCGGCGGTTTCGTGCAGCCTGGCCCTCAGGTGACAGGTCAATGCCCATGTGGCGTGCAATAGCTCTGGACACTGGGTTGACCTCCAGGTCCCCCACACTGGCAGTCCTGCTTTCCACGGTGTCTTTGATCAGGTCTATGACAGAATGCAACATGATACCTGCTGTCTTTGCTCTCTATTACTATTATAGTGTCCGTGGTATCCTGTGGCAAAGTTGTGTACTGTGAGCAGCGTGAGTGATGTTCAGCTATTTTGTCTGTTTCTTCAAGGTAATCTGTACTGTTCTGAGTGTTGTGATGTTAATGTTATATATTTGGTCTTGTTCAGTACCTCCACATGGCGTCCCATCCTTGGAGGGAGCTGCCTCTTTCTCCTCCTCCACGAGTCGTTCTGGAAGGGGTGGGGTGGCTATCTCCTCCTCCTGCTCTCCCTTATCCCCTGCCTCAGATGCCTCCTCATCTTTAGGGGAGCCAGCCTTGGACTCTGGGGAACCAGATAAAGCTCTGAGTCAGTGAGAACTTCCACTACAGATGATCCCAGATCAAATCAAAGCTTCCACTGCAGATCAAACTAGGCCCTTTACACAGTAAGTCCCAGAGCTCACCCCTATGGATTATACATGACTTCTAAATAAGTAAGCCATCAGTAAATATTAATGTACTGCTCTGCAGAGGCTCCCATTTTGTAGATATGTCTTCTCCATCCTGATAAGAGATAATTGGACAGTCTGGTTGCAGAATGACAAATAAGAGTGTGGTTCCACTGCAGAGCAGACCTACCATCCTCCTCCTCACAGTTGTGTTCGTTGTAATAGTCCATTAGCTCAGGAGGTAGTGACTCTCCTGGGGCGCGTGGGGGCAACAGCAGGACGTTCTGGACATCATAGCCCTTCATCATACGCAGAATCTTAAGAGAGAGGGAGAGATTTAATCTAAAGCTCTTAAACATTCTTTCTTAGTGCTTGAAAGTTAAGAAAACAGAAACGGAACCAAGGAGATCACTCAAAATGTTTTATTTAATTAATGAAAAGAACCATGTCTTCCACAGTGCACCATTAGAGGCAGTCATTTGATTTCACCTTCTCTTCCTCCAGGTATTTCTTGTCAAACTCCAGGGAGTAGAACTCAATGGGAAAGGGGCAGGGGTTCCGTACGATCACTTCAGCCTCCTCTCCAGCACTGAATGGCAGGGTGGGTCCCAGCTCCAGCACAGAGGAGGAGAACTCCAGCTGGGGCTCCTCTCCCTGCCCCTGGGCCAGCAGCAGCATCCTCTGGGTGCTTTGGGCCACTGACACCACCAGCCTCTGGCTGTACGCCCTCTATGGCGAACAACACAGCCAAGATGACAGTTACATCACAGGGAAGCAACCAGACACCATCTGCAGCCCAGCCAACACTCTCTCTCCCAGTATTCCCTGTGGTGTCTGTCTCTCCCTGACTCTTTAACATTACTTAGACCAACCAGTCACGTACTGTAGAGGCTTCACCAAACTTTTAGCTAGGTTCAGCTAATCTCCACGAGACTCCATCAAGACTCTAAGGCACCAGACCTGTCATTGGGGTGTGTGTGGTATGTGTGTATCTGATAGAGGAGATCCATACTGAAGCAGAGAGAGATAAGGCCCTCTGTGAGTCTGGTCTCTTATCTGTGTCTCCCAGCTCAACCTGACTCCATCATTCATGAGAAAGATGAGCTCTGGAAATACTGTGCAAATGTCGACATGCAGTTTAACAGAACAGACAAGAGACAGAGACAGGGTCACACTTTTTTCTGTCATTATGAGAGAGCAATGTTCCTTGTAGTCATGACAGCTTAAATATATTGAACTGCTATGGGCCCCTGGTTTTCCTTACCCCCTCGGCTGGGCTGAATTTGACCTGGACGTTGACTCTATCTCCAGGATACAGCACGCCTGTTGAAGGTAGCATTTCAAACACCACTGGAGGAGGACGCTGCTCCAATCTGGCCTTCCGTCTCAGGTGGAGGGGGACATGCTTGTCAATCTACACACAGGCCATAGACACATATTCCTTGAGTTTATAACAATTATAAACAGTTCATAAATAACAGATATACAATATCTATACCCTAGCCTAACTAGAGAATCCCAAATGAATATCTATGTGGATAACTTAATTACTGAAGAGGACTTTGTACTTGGGAATATATGTATCATGATGTGGGTTTACTCTGTAATACTAGGAAGTCTTATTGTTAAAGATAAAGCCCAGAATATGAATGAGATGAGCTTGACTGTAGACTCAGTGTGGGGCCTGGGGTCTATAATTATCCTCCGAAGATACAAGACAAGAAGAAAAATTAGCCAAAGCCTTGCAGCTAATACCTTTAATATCCAGTTTTTAAATCTTTACTCCATCATAAAACAGGAGATAATGAACAAAAATGCACCTAATTAGCTATTTGTTTTACTGGTAACAGCACATAATTTAAGGTAAACACACTGACTAGTTCTCTATTTGAAGGGTGTGTTCTTTTTTACTCTACAGTGTTGCTGTCACGACTTCCGCCGAGGCTGCCTCCCCTCCTTGTTCGGGCAGGCTTCAGCGTTCATCGTCATCGGCTTACTAGCCACTGCCGCTCCATATATCATCATTCCATTTGTCATGTCTTGTTAATTACACACACCTGGTTCTAATCCCCTCATTAGTCCGTGTGTAAGTGTTCCCTCTGCCCCCCTTGTCCTTGTTGGTGATTGTTTATTTGTGAGAGTAGTGTAGCTCGGTGGAGCTACTCGTACCTTGTTATTGCCGGGGTAGATATTTCCCCTTTGCCTGTTATTGTTGGAGCTACCGTTACCTTGTATTGCCAGGGTAGATTTTCCCCTGTGCCTGTTTCGTTTGTCGCTATCCAGCGCTATGTGTGTACGACGGAATAAACTCTGCATTTGGTGATTACCCTCCTGCGCCTGACTCCTTCTATCACACTCACCACAGTTGCTGCCTGCTGTTTGTGAAAATATCCATAGGCCTTTCCTGCAGTCAAATGACCAAATCGCTTTCTATTGGCCTCATGGGTGGAATGTTATTAATATTAATTTTTTATGTCGAAAATCCGGTGTTTCTATGTCAAACGGTTTTGTTACATTTCAGTCTTCTGTGATGTATATAAAGTGTAATATTGGGATGCAAACAAAAAAGGTAATACATTTCAACTCTATATCTGACATGGTATAGGTGTGTCTTTTTTCTAAGCCCATGTGTTTGAGGTGTAAACTTTTGCTTCAAAGTAGATTTGTTTAAGACTACCAAGATTAGCTCTGTGTGACCCTGATTTAGCCCACTGCAATAAAAGGTTAAAAAGCACAAGTATCTAAAATACCAGGAGGCAATAGAGTGTACTGGTGCATAAGTTGGCTAGTGTACCTTCTTCCTGGGCCGTTGCTCCTCTGCAATGCTCCACTCACAGGGGACAGGCTCGGGGTTGAACAGCTGGACGGTGGTTACCTGACACAGCCCACACTGAATGCTGTCAAACTGCAGCGTATCCGTGGAGACCGTGAGGGAGGGCATGGTGACTACGGCACAAAGATGGACCTGCACTGCAGGGCCCCCAACCACCTGGCAATCACAGCACACAGCACAATGACACCATGGCACATTCAGCCTGTTTGACCTTAAAAAAACGATGGGTCTAAATATTTTATGCATGTGGTGGAAAAGCAATAAAACATAAAATACACTCAGGAAGCTTTAGAAAATAAATTGGATGTACTGAAGTAGAGAACTTTTGGCAGTTTCCCTACTGTACCTGTATAGGCATGACAGTGTTGATCTCCCCTAAATTCAGATTTGCTCCACGGGGGTCAAACTTCACTTCAAAAGTCTCAGTCTCACAATAGGGCAGATTCTTCACTCTATCCAGCTCTACAACAAATCCTGGAGAACAAACAAATCTATTGTTAAAAATGATCCATAATATTCCCCAAACAGCCACACAGCTCCATATGTAGCTACTTTAAAGTTGGCCAGTAATACTGGAGAACCTACCTGTGCCTGTGAGTGGGCGGCGGTCAGCCCGGAAGGACACAGACATGGGTCCAGTGTTTGTCACTTTGACTATGTGGTTAGGAACACTACCATGGATCACATAGCCAAAATCCAGTGTGTACTCCGGCAGGAGGAACCTAAACATGAGTCACAATGAGATCCCAATTTCAGTAATGAGCCGAATATACAGTATGCATAGCCATGGAGTGATGGTGCATTTACATGTGAGCCTACCTGCTAAGCTTCTTGCGCCATTTGCTAATGGATACAGGCGTGTCTCGATTGTCCCCTTGTCTCTTCTCAATAGCCATGGCATTCTGTTTCACCAAGAGCCTCTCTACCTCCATCTGCAGCAGGGCATCATACTGCACTCAGAGAGACAGAAATCAATTTCACACACATCTGTCCACACAGCACAGGTATCATGTCTGCCATACAAATTGAACATATTAGCTTTGTTTTCGTCTTATGAAGACAATCATAACGGTGAGATCTATGTACAGTGCATTTGGAAAGTATTCAGACCCCTTCCCTTTTTCCACATTTTGTTACGTTACAGCCTTATTCTAAAATGGATTAAATTGTTTTTTTCCCCCATCAATCTACACACAATTCCCCATAATGACGAAGCGAAAACAGGTTTTTATCAATTTTAGCAAATGTATTCAAAATAAAAAACAAAAATACCTTATTTAAAAAAAATAAAGTATTCAGACATTTTGCTATGAGACTCGAAATTGAGCTTAGGTGCATCCTGTTTCCATTGATCATCCTTGAGATGTTTCTACAACTTGATTGGAGTCCACCTGTGGTAAATTCAATTGATTGGACATGATTTGGAAAGGCACGCACACCTGTCTATATAAGGTCCCACGGCTTCTACCCCCAAGCCATAAGACGCCTGAACATCTAATCAAACGGCTACCCAGACCCCCCACTTTTATGCTGCTGCTACTCTCTGTTTATTATCTATGCATAGTCACTTTAATAACTCTACCTACATGTACATATTACCTAAATTACCTTGACTAACCGGTGCCCCCGCACATTGACTCGGTACCGGTACCCCCTGTATATAGCCTCGCTATTGTTATTTGTACTGCTGCTCTTTAATTATTTGTTACTTTTATTTCGTATTATTTTATATTGTATTTTTTTGTGATTTTTTGGGTATTCTTTCTTAAAACTGCATTGTTGGTTAACGGCTTGAAAATAAGCATTTCACTGTAAGGTTTACACCTGTTGTATTCTGCACATGTGACGAATACAATTTGATTTGATTTTGATGTCAGAGCAAGAGGTCATGCCATGAGGTCGAAGGAATTGTCCGTAGAGCTCAGCTCTTTCCCCCTTCTGATAACCAGGTGGCGAATCGCATCTCTGCATGTCTGGCAGACATATCAGTATGGATGACGGATCACCACCTCAAGCTGAACCCTGGCAAGACGGAGCTGCTCTTCCTCCCGGGGAAGGACTGCCCGTTCCATGATCTCGCCATCACGGTTGACAACTCCGTTGTGTCCTCCTCCCAGAGTGCGAAGAGCCTTGGCGTGACCCTGGACAACACCCTGTCGTTCTCCGCTAACATCAAGGCGGTGACCCGATCCTGCAGGTTCATGCTCTACAACATTCGGAGAGTACGACCCTGCCTTACACAGGAAGCGGCACAGGTCCTAATCCAGGCACTTGTCATCTCCCGTCTGGATTACTGCAACTCGCTGTTGGCTGGCCTCCCTGCCTGTGCCATTAAACCCCTACAACTCATCCAGAATGCCGCAGCCCGTCTGGTGTTCAACCTTCCCAAGTTCTCTCACGTCACCCCCCTCCTCCGCACACTCCACTGGCTTCCAGTTGAAGCTCGCATCCGTTACAAGACCATGGTGCTTGCCTATGGAGCAGTGAGGGGAACGGCACCTCCGTACCTTCGGGCTCTGATCAGTCCCTACACCCAAACGAGGGCATTGCGTTCATCCACCTCTGGCCTGCTGGCTCCCCTTCCTCTGCGGAAGCATAGTTCCCGCTCAGCCCAGTCAAAACTGTTCGCTGCTCTGGCACCCCAATGGTGGAACAAGCTCCCTCACGACGCCAGGACAGCGGAGTCACTCACCACCTTCCGGAGACATTTGAAACCCCACCTCTTTAAGGAATACCTGGGATATGATAAAGTAATCTTGTGTAAAGTGGTTTTCCCACTGGCTATAGGGTGAATGCACCAATTTGTAAGTCGCTCTGGATAAGAGCGTCTGCTAAATGACGTAAATGTGCCCTTGAGCAAGGCACTTAACCCTAATTGCTCCTGTAAGTCGCTCTGGATAAGAGCGTCTGCTAAATGACTAAAATGTAAATGTAAATTATTGTGTCAAGGCACAGATCTGGGGAAGGGTACCAAAAAATGTCTGCAGCATTGAAGGTCCCCAAGAATACGGTGGCCTCCATCATTCTTAAATGGAAGAAGTTTGGAACCACCAAGAGCTGGCCGCCCCGGCCAAACTGAGCAATCGGGGGAGAAGGGCCTTGGTTAGGGAGGTGACCAAGAACCCGATGGTCACTCTGACAGAGCTCCAAAGTTCCTCTGTGGAGATGGGAGAACCTTCCAGAAGGACAACCATCTCTGCACATCTCCACCAATCAGGCCTTTATGGTAGAGTGGCCAGACAGAAGCCACTACTCAGTAAAAGGCAAATGACAGCCCACTTGGAGTTTGCCAAAAGGCACCTAAAGGACTCTCAGACCATTAGAAACAAGATTCTCTGGTCTGATGAAACCAAGATTGAACTCTTTGGCCTGAATGCCAAGCGTCACATCTGGAAGAAACCTGGTACTATCCCTACGGTAAAGCATGGTGGTGGCAGCATCATGCTGTGGGGATGTTTTTCAGCGGCAGGGACTGGAAGACTAGTCAGGATCAAGGGAAAGATGAACGGAGCAAAATACAGAGAGATCCTTGAAAAAAAAACTGCTCCAGAGCGCTCAGGACCTCAGACTGGGGCGAAGGTTCACCTTCTAACAGGAGAACGACCCTAAGCACACAGCCAAGACAATGCAGGAGTTGCTTCGGGACAAGTCTCTGAATGTCCTTGAGAGGCCCAGCCAGAGCCCGGACTTGAACCCGATCTAACATCTCTGGAGAGACCTGAAAATAGCTGTGCAGCGACACTCCCCATCCAACCTTACAGAGCTTGAGAGGATCTGCAGAGAAGAATGGGAGAAACTCCCCAAATACAGGTGTGCCAAGCTTGTAGCGTCATACCCAAGAAGAATCAAGGCTGTAATCGCTGCCAAAGGTGCTTCAACAAAGTACTGAGTAAAGGGTCTGAATACTTATGTAAATGTGATATTTCATTTATTTATTTTTTATATACACTACCGGTCAAAAGTTTTAGAACACCTACTCATTCAAGGGTTTTTCTTTATTTAATTTTTTACTATTTTCTACATTGTAGAATAATAGTGAAGACATCAAAGCTATGAAATAACACATATGGAATCATGTAGTAACCAAAAAAGTGTTAAACAAATCTTAATATATTTTATATTTTAGATTCTTCAAAGTAGCCACCTTGTGCCTTGATGACAGATTTCCACACTCTTGGCATTCTCTCAACCAGCTTCACCTGGAATGCTTTTCAAACAGTCTTGAAGGACTTCCCACATACAGTGGGGAAAAAAAAAGTATTTAGTCAGCCACCAATTGTGCTAGTTCTCCCACTTAAAAAGATGAGAGAGGCCTGTAATTTTCATCATAGGTACACGTCAACTATGACGGACAAATTGAGAAAAGAAAATCCAGAAAATCACATTGTAGGATTTTTAATGAATTTATTTGCAAATTATGGTGTAAAATAAGTATTTGGTCACCTACAAACAAGCAAGATTCCTGGCTCTCACAGACCTGTAACTTCTTCTTTAAGAGGCTCCTCTGTCCTCCAATCGTTACCTGTATTAATGGCACCTGTTTGAACTTGTTATCAGTATAAAAGACACCTGTCCACAACCTCAAACAGTCACACTCCAAACTCCACTATGGCCAAGACCAAAGAGCTGTCAAAGGACACCAGAAACAAAATTGTAGACCTGCACCAGGCTGGGAAGACTGAATCTGCAATAGGTAAGCAGCTTGGTTTGAAGAAATCAACTGTGGGAGCAATTATTAGGAAATGGAAGACATACAAGACCACTGATAATCTCCCTCGATCTGGGGCTCCACGCAAGATCTCAACCCGTGGGGTCAAAATGATCACAAGAACGGTGAGCAAAAATCCCAGAACCACACGGGGGGACCTAGTGAATGACTTGCAGAGAGCTGGGACCAAAGTAACAAAGCCTACCATCAGTAATACACTACGCCGCCAGGGACTCAAATCCTGCAGTGCAAGACGTGTCCCCCTGCTTAAGCCAGTACATGTCCAGGCCCGTCTGAAGTTTGCTAGAGTGCATTTGGATGATCCAGAAGAGGATTGGGAGAATGTCACATGGTCAGATGAAACCAAAATATAACTTTTTGGTAAAAACTCAACTTGTCGTGTTTGGAGGACAAAGAATGCCGAGTTGCATCCAAAGAACACCATACCTACTGTGAAGCATGGGGGTGGAAACATCATGCTTTGGGGCTGTTTTTCTGCAAAGGGACCAGGACGACTGATCCGTGTAAAGGAAAGAATGAATGGGGCCATGTATCGTGAGATTTTGAGTGAAATCCTCCTTCCATCAGCAAGGGCATTGAAGATGAAACGTGGCTGGGTCTTTAAGCATGACAATGATCCCAAACACACCGCCCGGGCAACGAAGGAGTGGCTTCGTAAGAAGCATTTCAAGGTCCTGGAGTGGCCTAGCCAGTCTCCAGATCTCAACCCCATAGAAAATCTTTGGAGGGAGTTGAAAGTCCGTGTTGCCCAGCGACAGCCCCAAAACATCACTGCTCTAGAGGAGATCTGCATGGAGGAATGGGCCAAAATACCAGCAACAGTGTGTGAAAACCTTGTGAAGACTTACAGAAAACGTTTGACCTGTGTCATTTCCAACAAAGGTTATATAACAAAGTATTGAGAAACTTTTGTTATTGACCAAATACTTATTTTCCACCATAATTTGCAAATAAATTCATAAAAAATCCTACAATGTGATTTTCTGGATTTTTTTTTCTCATTCTGTCTGTCATAGTTGACGTGTACCTATGATGAAAATTACAGGCCTCTCTCATCTTTTTAAGTGGGAGAACTTGCACAATTGGTGGCTGACTAAATACTTTTTTCCCCCACTGTATGCTGAGCACTTGTTGGCTGCTTTTCCTTCACTCTGCGGTCCGACTCATCCCAAACCATCTCAATTTGGTTGAGGTCAGGGGATTGTGGAGGCCAGGTCATCTGATGCATCACTCCATCACTCTCCTTCTTGGTAAAATAGCCCTTACACAGCCTGGAGGTGTGTTGGGTCATTGTCCTGTTGAAAAACAAATGATAGTCCCACTAAGCACAAACCAGATGGGATGGCGTATCGCTGCAGAATGCTGTGGTAGCCATGCTGGTTAAGTCAATTCTAAATAAATCACAGACAGTGTCACCAGCAAAGCACCCCCACACCATAACACCTCCTCCTCCATGCTTTACAGTGGGAAATACACATGCGGAGATCATCCGTTCACCCACACCACGTCTCACAAAGACATGGCGGTTGGAACCAAAAATCTCAAACTTGGACTCCAGACCAAAGGACACATTTCCACCAGTCTAATTTCCATTGCTCGTGTTTCTTGGCCCAAGCAAGTCTCTTCTTCTTATTGGTGTCCTTTAGTAGTGGTTTCTTTGCAGCAATTAGACCATGAACGCCTCATTCACGTAGTCTCCTCTGAACAGTTGATGTTGAGATGTGTCCGTTACTTGAACTCTGTGAATCATTTACTTGGGCTGCAATTTCTGAGGCTGCTAACTCTAATGAACTTATCCTCTGCAGCAGAGGTAATTCTTGGTCTTCCATTCCTGTGGCGGTCCTCATGAGAGCCAGTTTCATCATAGCGCTTGGTGGTTTTTGTGACTGCAATTCAAAGTTCTTGAAATGTTCTGTATTGACTGACCTTCATGTCTTAAAGTAATGATGGACTGTCATTTCTCTTTGCTTATTTGAGCTGTTCTTGTATAATATGGCCTTGGTCTTTTACCAAATAGGGCTATTGTCTGTATACCCCCCCTACCTTGTCACAACACAACTGATTGGCTCAAACACATTAAGAAGGAAAGAAATTCCACAAATTAACTTATGCATAGCCATGGAGGCACACCTGTTAATTGAAATGCATTCCAGGTGACTACATCATGAAGCTGATTGAGAGAATGCCAAGAGTGTGCAAAGGTGTCATCAAGGCAAAGGGTGGCTATTTGAAGAATCTCAAATATAAAATATATTTTGATTTGTTTAATACTTTTTCTTTACTACATGAATCTATATGTGTTATTTCATAGTTTTGATGTCTTCACTATTATTCTACAATGTAGAAAATAGTAAAAAATAAAGAAAAACCCTTGAATGAGTAGGTGTTCTAAAACTTTTGACCAGTAGTGTACATTGGCACCAGGGTCTGAATACTTTTCAAATGCACTGTACATGAATCAAGGGGAAAGTGATGAGTGATTGTGATACAGTAGGTACTGACTGTAGGGATGTAGTCCATGTCTGACAGAAGGCCCTCTCCAGTAGCAGGCCGGCTGATGCCCACATCCCTCCTGTCCTCCTCCAGGGCCTTCTTGGCCTCCTTCACCACTGCAGTATACCTCTCATCATCTACACAATACAAGAATAGCGAGTTACACACTGCAACAAAACAGTTTTAGAGTATCGAGATAGACCTCCACAATAAACACAGGCACATACCGAGCTCTCTGGGTAGGTCCAGGCACACCCTGGGGAAGATGCCCTCTCCTCTAAGAGTGATGCTCTCTGGCTCAAAGAAAGCCACCTGCAGCTGGAAAGTCTTGTGGAAGACCTCAGGGATCCCAGGGAGATAGTACACTGACAGCTTCTGCTCTGCATTCGCCTCGATGTAACCCTTTAAGTAATGAGAGACAAGCAAAGGGTTACATAAGGAAACACCGTAAATAGCTACAGTAAAACCTCAGCTTAGCGCCCTTACTCAGCCTTAGCCTAAGCTAAGTAGCTTTTGTTTTGTCTTGTTTTGTTTTATACTCTTTGCTGTACAGTGTCCTTGGGTTTTTTGAAAGGTGCTTAAAGGGATACTTGGGGATTTTGGCAATGAGGCCCTTTATCTACTTCCCCAGAGTCAGATTAACTCATGGATACCATTTGTATGTCTCTGTGTCCAGTATGAAGAAAGTTAGAGGTATTTTTGCGAGCCAATGCTAACTAGCGTTAGCGCAATGACTGGAAGTCTATGGGTATCTGCTAGCATAATGGACACAGACACATAAAAATGGTATCCACAAGTTCATCTGGCTCTGCCAAAATCTCTTGAAAGTAACTACATAAAGTGTGTATGTAGTTACACTAAAGGATTGATAGAGAAAGCAGACTGTAAAAGGAAGGTTCCCCTGTGCTGTGGGCTGTCTCACCATTCTGGAGATGACCAGGGGATGTCCAGGCCGAGGGTCCTCACACCCATCCTGCTCCCCCAACAGAGCACTGAACTCAAAGCCCACCTTCCCTGTGTTCCTCAGGGTGATCTCTGCCTCTGCCACACGGTCAAACAACTGCAGGAGAAAGAAGGGAAGAAGAAGAGCGGGAATGGATCCAAAAAATGTATGCTGAACCGGCAAGGAGGAGACGATTCTGCTGATTCACTCATTTACAAATAAAAAAATCAATAAGTCCTTGTTTGAATATCAATGATAATTGCATACCCAAACAGGGACGAATGAAAAACACAAGCAAAGAAAGCCAACACAGATACCTCTATCCTTCACAAGTGAACTGGACTCAACTAACACAGCCTCAGGGTGACCATAGTACAAATACCTGAAGGCCAAAGTCTATCTCTGTTCTGTCCAGGCTGTAGGTGACCAGTGAAGCCTCTCCTTTGAGTGTGATTTCATACGTGGGGCCCTCCTCGACCTCACACAGAGCCAGAACCTGACCACTGATGTCAGCATGACCGTAAAAGGAGAAGGACACAAGATGGCTTTCACCTGGCTGCAGCACCCCATATATAGGTAGGATATCAAACACCTACATCAAGGAGAGGAGGAGAGACAGATAAAGAGGTATACAGTAGGTCAGAACAATGATAGACCGATAGAGAAAGACACAAGGACATATGGATAGAACAATAGTGAGAGGGTAGGAGATGCACAAAGGAATAATTCAATTCAATATTGTAATTCAATTCAACAATGTTCTCTGTTGGTCCAATGCAGCTGTTTTTATCTCAATATTAAATAATTTCTGGGTAACAATTAAGTACCTTACTGTGATTGTTTTCAATTAAAATGGTAAAAAGAAACAAAAATAGCTTCTTAGCAAAGAGCAATTTCTCAAACAAGAATTTTGCTAAGACTGTCTGGCCTGAGTGGGGACTGGAAAACTGAAAACTAGCTGTTATTGGCAGAGAGGTTTGGAACTCTTTCATATTGGTCTATTAACTAATTTACCGCCTGGTGATGTCACCATGGAAGGCCAAAACTCTATCCCACCAAAACAACATTTTAGGCTGTCTTTTCAAACAGCTCTTACTCTAAAAGGGCATTATCATCATTTTCAATAATGAGCAATAGAGACAGAGAGGAAACCTTATCAGCTGGGCACCTGATAGTGGGTACTGTACCTCCTCCACTCCAACACTGGGGTGCTCCTTTGTAGTGTGGCTTGCTGTGCCTGTGTTCTGATCAGTACTGGCTGGCCACTGTGCTGGTGAGGTCCTGTTGTGCTCCTGTCTGCTGGGGTTGTAGCTGCCTCGCCCCTGGCTCTGCCTCCCCTCTGTGATGAGAGTGGTGGTGACTGGAGCTGACAGGGGATCTTTGGGAGAGCCCCTCCCCTCCTTAGTCTCATTATCTTGGTCTCCCTTCTCTTCCTCCCCCTCCTTATCCAGGAGCAGTTTGGGAACCTCAATTTCCCTGAAGAAAAAGTTTATAATGTGTTATGTTATATCTACAGAATTGAGCTGTAATAAAGACAACTCACTGGACATTTAATCTTGGATCGAGTAAGGGATCCAAGTAACAGACACATTAACAAAGTAAAAAACAAAGATTCATTAGTCCATTAAAATGAGCAATAAAAGAAATCAGTGAAGGAATTCATACTAGCACAGTATGTCCTCTCAGAAGCTTCCTGATCCTCCCCCAACAACACTATCTCGTCTCTCTCTCTCGCTCTCTCTCCCTCCCCCCTCCTTGGTAGCTACACGCTTGGTACATCCATGATGTTAATTAATTACAGAATGCTCATTAATTACTGACATTTTAATAGAACTGCTCCAATGGACTGAAAAATAATTTTGCAAGAAAGGGGACTGGACAGATGTTGCCAGATAATAAATGAGAGACAGACATGCAAATTGACAGAAATGTAGTGAAATGGCGACATAGAGAGACACACAGATTCATACAGAGATACAAAATACAAGGAGACATGGTGACATAAGAGACCAAGCAGGTAGAGCCTGCAGACTATAGTAAGAGTAGGTGTTTTGTGGAGTAACAGCAGGGGGCAGTGTTGTATGCGGAATTCTATGGCAGTTTGTTCCACCAGCAGAGATAATTTAACAGGGAAATTAATATACTCCAGAGGACCACTGTCAGGAGGAACCACCATATTTTCTCTCACCAGAAAATAGAGGATTTTAAGCTTTCTATCTTGTCCCACTGCTCTCATTTGTAAGCATTTGTGTGTGTGTGCATATGTATGTGCATGTGTGTGCATGTGCACCACTGTGTGCATGTGCTGACATTCCAACACACTAGTCCCCAGACACCTCAGAAGTCTCTGGAACAAATAATATTTCAATTACACAAAACAGTCAGCAGAGAGAGAAAAGTATACATTTTTATATCGTTAATGTTGTCCACGAAGCCCAATGCCTTTTCAAAGAGCATCTGAAGTGAAGACCTTCATGGGAGATGCCTGAAATGATTATTCTCTGCTATAACTGGGCTAGATGCTGAGAATCCAGTTCTTCAACCATTTGGAATTATTTCCAATTAATGTGAAGTTCAAAAAATCTGATTCTATATGTAGTCACTATCGTATGAAATAAGCCTGCTGTGAATCTCTGCTATAAGAAGCTAATTTCTGTCTATATGTTGACATGATATAAATACATGATATTGCTCATTCTATTCCGATACAGGGTGCAAGTACTGGAGCTTGGTGAACGGCAGGATCAGACCTGTTTGAGTCCACTCTGATGTCAATGTTTCTCTTTTTGGACAGGTCCCATTGCGTATCCCTCTCCTCCTCATGTGTGGTCGCTCTTCCCTTACTCACGTTGGTCTGCTCAGGAAACCTGGGAAAGTGAAATCCATCAGCACCAAATCAGCAATGGATAGCAAGGGGCTTGAGCTGGTCAAGATGAAACTGTCCGTCAGCAACATATACACCATAAATCAGTTAGCTAAGTGGATGAAAATGGTGCAATAAAAATAGCAGGATCACCCATGATTTAATTACTGATAGGCATTTAATTAGCAGGTTGGCCTGTGCATTGTGTAAACCCTGTGAATATTGATAGGAAGGGTCATCCACTTCTAAGAGGATGGGTCTGGAGAAATGAAAAGCAGGAGGCTGTGATAAATCTTCACTGGCCTGAACTTTAGCCCCACAGAGAGACAGCACTATTGATTCATCTGAGGCAGGACATGGCAGCAGCTGAAGAACAATTAAAAACTATAAAAACTCAACACTACGCTGCCAGAGATTGGAGCTGTATTGACAGCTGAGATTTAACATCAGAGCCAGCATAGGCCTTTTGACTACTTTGAGTGCTTAGAGTGTAGTATTTGTTTTATTTTCTACTTCACTTATAATAATTTCTACTATCAAATTATTTTGCTGAAAATCTGCTTTCTGTAAACACTGCAGAAACCCTGCTGTGATCACAAAAAGCAGGACATCATTGATATGGAGTCTATAGATCTTGATGCACAATTAACTGATATCTACTGATGGCAACTGCATATTGTAGAGCTGCTTGGGGTTCATATTCCCTCAAAATAGATAGCTTGAAATGGTAGCCAAATAGTTGTAGTGTAACAGATTGGGTCCCTTCTTGACTGGTGTGAGGAGATTAAAGGAGTGTGGTGCTGAGTAGTCACAGCCAAGGACTGGCTTTTAGGCTAGTTTACTTTGTGTTCCCAAGATGGATCCAAGGAATGGCTGCCTAGGTAGAGCTATAGATGAAAAAAGCAATATGTTTGCACCGTCAGTAGATCAAACTTTTTTTTGAAGCGTCTCAGATTATTTTTTTCCTGTTGGTTTCCTTAAAGAATGGCTGGATTTGGCTTTGCTAACGGTGCAATCATCTAGCTTTTCCCCATCTCAGACAACTATAAACTCCTAATCCCAGAGGTGGCCACTCCAGTACAGTATGGTATGTGCTTACACATTTCAAACACTCCTCATTAGACATTCTTACACACACAGTTAACAGGAGTGGAATTTCGTTTCAGCCTCTTAAGAGAAAGGAAAGTGGCTTGATGAGCAGTCTGATGCTCAGCATCTTTTCAATTGAGGGGGAAATGAACAGCTTGACTAAATGCAGTCTTAATACGGAGGAGTTCCTTTCCTCGGCTACACCAGCTGCGTCTGCACCATCTGTCCCCTCCTGGAACTACATGAAAACTGGAGCCCTCCTGTGCCTCAATAGAATCTCAAATAAACAGTGGAACCACAATAAACAATATCCCCAACCCTTTATAACAATAAGCCATCCAATAGAGGGAAGGTAATGAAGTGTTTAGGAGTACGCACACACACAAAGGTCAGGGATATTCTCTGCTTCATTCCTGAGTTTTCTTTCCCAGGGATGGTGGCTAAACAAGTCTAATGGTGACGTGGTTGAGGTGGACTAGGCTCTCTACCTGATGGTGTACTGCTGCTGGTCGACCAGGAAGGCCCAGTGGTAGGACACAGACAGAGGGCTGCAGTTGGTCATGGTGAGCTGGCGCTGAGCCTCGGTGTGATTCAGTACACAGCCAAAGTCCAGAGCCACACTTGAGAAGTGCAGGTTGGGGAAGTGGACCTCTCCCCTCAGGTCCACCGTGTCCTGCTGAGGATGGTCTGAGTAACGCACCTCCAGCACCTCCTCAGCCACCCGCGTTATACTGTCCTGGCAGTATGAGGGGTCGAAGCGTACCCACTGCTCCGTCTGCACTCCTACAGCCAGTACCAAAGTCTATCAACACAGAGACATGGACATAATATGGTACCTGCCCCTCAATACTAGACACAGATACCCACCCCAAAATGTTAAAGAATCAACAGTGTCAGATTATGTTAAGTATGAACCAAGGCTATAATTCCTGTGATGTATTGTACAAGTATTGCCTGCAGAAGGATGTACCTTAGAAGTGACACATGTGTGATCACCATCGTGGTCAGACAGACCAAAGGGCTCAGCCAGAGTGAGCTGCAGAGAGAGGGCCAGAGACGACACATTCCTCAGCAGCAGCTTTTGGTAGAGAGGAAGCAGAGAGACACCTGGAGCCTGCAGTGGGGGCACCAACAGTCACACATTTATAAATCTAACACACACACATATTTGAAAAGTAAAGATAAGACTGATTGTGAAGATGAATTAAGTAACTACCGGTATTCAATACTGTAAACTCTAGAGACTGGGAGTCAACTGACTATAATGCCCTGTAGTTAATAACTTCTTAAAGGTTAAGCAAAGCAGAAATAACTCAATCTATAATCTCTATCTATCCCTTTCTTGTGTGGGCAACACAATTTACAGCAGGCCTTATACATGGCCAATTCATTCTCAGCCTCTCTCCCTCCTCCTCTCAACTCTACTGCATTTCTTATCCCTTTATTTCTTGCTGTCTCTCCTTACCCATTCCTCTCTCCCCCTCTCCCTCTCCATTCCTTCCCCCATCCCATTTCCCTCTCTCTAATTGCTTTATCCCAGAGAGCTCTGCTGCACAAACAGCCTGTAAATCTAGAGGCAAGGCTGTCAACACATAGATTCATGGGACAGAGTCAGATAAAAGAATGTCACTGAAATAAATTATCATTTTCATTTCTGAAAGGTTGATCAGCAACAGGACCTGAAAGCAGCTGCCAGGAGATGTGAGATATGTGTAAAAATCTGCACAGGTTCAGCACGAAAAGGGGCGATAATACAAACATTGCGATAGAGTTTGTGCTAGTGATAATAAAAGTCAAATGGAGGGACAGGAAATCAGTTTCATTATGATGATAGTGGTGACGCCTCATTCTTCCTCATTCAGAATTCAATCATTCTGATGATATCGGATGGAGAGTGCAGAGTGCTTTTTGCTATCCCCATAAAATCCTTGAAAATAACTTAAACCCAAGTTCATCTTCTAATAGGCATAATGTGTATTCAGGTTTAAGCATACTGCAAGAAGTGGACTAATTTTGGATTTGAGCCGAACCCCTCTGGTCAACAACTTCCTCGCCTGTCCACTGGGTTCATATATTATTGGTTATACTAACAGAATCTGGGGCAAAGCTTTGTGCTCTGTCAGAACCATTGCCATCTTTAACATCATAAATCAGGAACAAACTGGTGCAGAAGTGTACAGTATAATTTCCATAGGAGATAATCACTGTGATCTAGCTTCATGGAGCAAAGCACTTCTGACACTGGAGCTGGATAAAATAAACACAATGTCTCAACAGAACTCAGCCACCGATCTGCTACACACTGAATGCCTTCAATGAACAAATGAGTGATGTGAGGTCTATTGTTTCAAGACAGTGTTTCCCCCCATTTTTTTTCAGCAGCGGTGGCAGAGTTAGTGGGGGGAGGGGTCTTCCTGCGGGGCGGCGGATGGGGTCTTCCTGGGGCATACATCTATACATCTACATTATATATATTTTTTAATTGCAGTGGCGGTGCACCGCTGCTAAATGCATATTGGGGAAACACTGCAAGCATTATGAAATGTGTGTCATTGGGCATGGATGGCTCCACCATGATTGTAGAAACTTATGTGAATTCCATGCACTAAGGCTTCAATGCACTTGCACAGAGGCTTGTTTCTGTTATGTAAGTTGTGAGCAGAAAGGCAGCAAGTTTAAGGCTGTGGGTGATGAGTGATTGGTGTCACACACCTTCTCCACATAGAAGCTGAGCTGCTGAGAGGAGATGTCCAGGATGGGTGAGACAAACCGACATGTGACGTCCACCGTCATGATGCGCTCCTTCCCACTCTGGTGACCTAGGATGGCGTGACACACCAGCCTCTCTCGGACCACCTGGGTTAGAAACACAGGTATTCAGTACACACATCCCATTAGTTCAAGACAACCTTTATACCAGCAGATACAATTATGCACTTAAGCTCAGCTTTTGACCTTGTGTAGGTATAAATGTGACATAGTTTCCTATAACTACCCAACAAAAATACAGCCCTGCCATGCCAAAGCTTTTCTGAGACACAGCCACGCTCTGCTTTGCTTGGGCTTTCCTGAATTACAACTCCACAATAGCCATTCAAAGATTTAGGGGATCACAGAGGCTGCAGTGGCATGGGCTTATCTCTGGTTCTTGCTTCTTTCCCTCTCCTGTTCACCATTCAATCAATAAGGACTCAAGGAGGCATGCATCCCAGTAATACCCCAGAGAGGAAGTCAACACCCTGGCCTGTGCAGTTGGAATTTGGGAAGATTAAGGAGGGGCTTTCAGCACCTTTATCTCTGTAGTATTCAACCTTGAACCCCCTGTGTCGTGATCTGATATGCTAGCTAAGAGTGCACTGACTGTATTTTCTCCTAATGTTAGCAAATGTTAATAACCAGCTGTGATTACTATCATCAAACACTGGTAATGCTCCACTAAATGGAACTGGTTTGGCTGAACAAAAAAACTGGAGTTCATAAAGGTATAATGTGGTGAAACATACTAGGTCTTGGGAAGAAAATTCTATCATTTATTCAAAGTCCAACAACTTTAGGTGTTGATGAAGACCATTGTCGTCAATGTTGACTCCAACAAATTTTTTCCCTAGTAACACACAATACACGATCCGCATAGATTTTCATTGAGACACATACTGTATCTGTATTTTGAGGGAGTGTGTATGTTTCTAGATCTCAACTGAATATCTAGGTTGTGTCTGACAGAGGCGTGTTTGCCACCATTGTCTCATGTTCCCACCTTGGGAGAGTCAGAGGAGCCCTCCAGCACCATGTCAGCAGTATGTCCCGGGGCCAGCCCCATACGCATGGGGTGCAGGCTGAAGACTGGCCCATCTACAGGTGGGGGTACCAGGGAGCTGCGACTCTTTCCCTTCCTGGTGGTGTTGGCGAGTGGGGGAACTCTTCGGCGGAACTGGGGGTACCCCTCCGTCGTCCAGTACAGCTGGTGGGAACGGCGACCTCGGTTGGTCACTCTAAAATGGTACTGACATGGTCCAGAGCTGGGGAGCAGAGGACAGAAGGCAAGGTTTCAGGGGGAAAGAATAAAAAGGATTTGAATGACTGATTTGATTGAATTTGTAAAGTATGCACATTCAGTATTTCCACACTCGTAGCTATACCTACCTGAAATGGGCTCCCAAGTCCAGACTGGGGGCAAAAGGGCGGTTGGTGACAATAGTAGTGCCCTTGCCAGTAGCAGAGAGAGGGATGGTTTGTGTTTCACTATTCTGGATGGACAGGTGCAGCTTGTCCTGGAAATGCAGGGTGTCATCCAGGTGAGCCACTAGCCTCAGCTCCAGCTTCCCCTGGGGTGGAACCTCTCCCTCACTTGGCTCCACCCGCCACAGGGACCTGCTGCGCACCTGGAGAAATACAGTGGGCTTCTGTTACATAGGTTCTTACATTTGATGTAGTAATAGAAAAATGATCACATACCATACCGTATAAAGTATACAGTGAGCCAAAACAGATGCATGATAAATTCATTGAGGGGCTTTGTAACATCCAGGAGGTTAGCCAAAGGCAACAACAGGCAGTGAACCCTTTTATGATTGGGCCAATAGAGATCATATGTTCTATTAAACTCTATTATTGGGCCATTCTTACAGAGGGTCTGAGTGCTTTAGATTAAGAAATAAAATGAGGGCACCACACAAGAAGCAATTTGACACCTTTAGCAGAACATTATCTGGCTCTTGGACCATGCAGTGTTTTATAATGAGAGGCCATGTAGTAATAGCATGTCCGGGCTCCCTCCAGTCTCTTCCCTACATATACTGTCTTATCGGTGGGCCTCTTGGGAGCCTGGTGGAGGCAGAGGAAGGTTGCAGTGGGGAAGCTCACTACTCGTCTATCAGTTTTACAGAGTGTGAAGCTGCTAATTGAAGCAATAACAGACAGGCTGAGGTTTTATCAGATCAATGGCCCAAAAGCTGTGTTGATATAGATACAAGGATCACCCCGCAATGCTTGTTTTCACTAATAGTCTTCCTTCTAATTCAATTTGAGAATTGTATCTTTATCTGAAAGTATGTTTCATCTAAAGAAAAAAAGCTGATAAACCTACTTTCCCCATCTTATTCTGCTCCATTCCAGATTTGTGATCAATTTGAATGAATTTACATTAAATAAGGAACTAATCTAAAATGAAGACACATGAATCTTCTCTACCACATCTTCAGCCTTGTTCACATCAGGAGATAAGCCCAAAGTGCACCAGCAGCTCTCTATATCTTAGCTATTAGCTGAAAGAGGATTAAAATCAATTCTCCATGCAGCGGCATCCTGATTGATACACATACAGTTTTAATTGGGATATTCCGATTGAATCCAGCACTGGGACACTGGAGTGGGCTTTCTGATTGATGATGCTTTATTTCACCACCACACTGGAGGCCTCATCCAACTATCTGGATGCTTCCATGGACTAAGCAGAATCATCACAATTGACTGCCATCATGACGTTTGCTTTTGAACAGCGACCAACCAAATAACCTGAATGAGCTCAGTGTATGCAGGGGAAGGGTGATGGAAGAGAGGCACTATAATTATCTAACAAACTCTCTACAAACTAGTTAAGCAAAGGCAGAAATACTTTTTTACAACATGCAACTTCCTTACAATGACATTGGCTATGCAATGCATTGGATTTAATTGGAGTTTCAGTGTGTGTTTGAATGTGGAGGAGACGTTATTGAAAAGAGCATGGTCTGCTGGCGACAGGAGATCTTAATGTTACTAGCAGTCATGTAGAACCAACCGATTATTCAGACATAAACATATTCTGCCAGCCTGTGAGACAGAATGAGGGCACATTTTTAGGAAGATGTCTTGTCACAATGAATATATTCTAATAGACGCTCTACACTCTTTTGGAACCCACAAAAAAGGGTTCCAAAAGGGTTATTCGGCTGTCCCCATAGGATAATGGTTGCAGGTAGAACCCTTTTTGGTTACAGATAGAATCGTTTTGGGTTCCATGTTGAACCCTCTGTAGAAACGATTGGACATGGAACCCAAAAGGGTTCTACCTGCAACCAAAAATGACTATTCAAAGGGTTCTCCTATGGGGACAGCCGAAGAACCCTTTAAGGTTCTACATAGCACCTTTTTTTCTAAGAGTGTACACTACAGTGTATTTCATTTTCACTTGCAGATCAAAGTGGGATGTCAGCTCATTACAGATGGACCTGCAGAGAAACTGGAGTAAACTGCCCTTGGGACAATGATCCACTACACCTCACATAGAAGACACTCCCAGTAAAGCAATGAAAACAAGCAAGCATCCCAGAAAAGTGCTCAAAATAGACCACGCTAACATATGTAGCTTAAGAAACAAGGTTCATGAAATTAATAACTTGCTAGTAACAGATGACATTCATATTCTGACTATCTCTGAAACTCATTTAGACAATACCTTTGATGATACAGTGGTAGCAATACAAGGTTATAACATTTACAGAAAATACAGAAATGCCAGTGGTGGAGGTGTTGCTGTTTATATTCAGAACCATATTCCTGTAGAGATTTGAGAGGATCTCATGTTAAATACTGTTGAAGTAATATGGCTACAGGTTCTTCTGCCTCAACTAAAGCCCATTCCTGTGGGACGCTGCTATAGACCAACAAGTGCCAACAGTCAGTATCTGGATAATATGTGTGAAATGCTTGATAATGTATGTGATATCAACAGAGAGGTATATTTTCTGAGTGATTTAGATATTGACTGGCTTTCATCATGCTGCCCACTCAAGAAAAAGCTTAAAACTGTAACCAGTGCCTGCAACCTGGTTCAGGTTATCAGTCAACCTACCATCAACATGTATTGATCTCATCTTTACTAATACTGCAGAAATGTGCTTGAAAGCAGTATCCAGGACATCGGATGTAGTGATCACAATATAGTAGCCATATCTAGGAAAACCAAAGTTCCAAAGGCTGGGCCCAATATAGTGTATAAGAGGGGTCATACAATAGGTTTTGTAGTGATTCCTATGTTGTTGATGTAAATAATATTTGTTGGTCCGTGGTGTGTAATGAGGAGCAAACAGACGTTGCACTTGACACATTTATGAAATTGCTTATCCCAGTTACTAATGAGCATGCACCCATTAAGAAAATGACTGTAAAAACTGCTAAATCCCTGTGGATTGATGAGGAATTGAAAAATGGTATGGTTGAGAGGGATGAGGCAAAAGGAATGGCAAATAAGTCTGGCTGCACAACCGATTGGCAAACGTAATGCAAATTACGCTGACACTACACATCCAAGTATATCTGACCAAATTATGAAAGACAAGAATTGCCATATCTTCAATTTAAGCCTACAGGAAAATGTGTGCCCTCAGGCCTGGAGGGAAGCAAAAGTCATTCCGCTATCTAAGAATAGTAAAGCCCCCTTTACTGGCTCAACTAGCCGACCAATCAGCCTGTTACCAACCCTTAGTAAACTTTTCGAAAGAATTGTGTTTGACCAGATACAATGCTATTTTACAGTAAACAAATGGACAACAGACTTTCAGCACGCTTATAGGGAAGGACATTCAACAAGCACAGCACTTACACAAATGACTGATGATTGGCTGAGAGATATTGATGATAAAAAGATTGTGGGGGCTGTTTTGTTAGACTTTAGTGCGGCTTTTGACATTATCGATCGTAGTCTGCTGCTGGAAAAACGTATGTGTTATGGCTTTACACCCCCTGCTATATTGTGGATAAAGAGTTACCTGTCTAACAGAACACAGATAGTGTTCTTTAATGGAAGCCTCTCCAACATAATCCAGGCAGAATCAGGAATTCCCCAGGGCAGCTGTCTAGGCCCCTTACTTTTTTCAATCTTTACTAATGACATGCCACTGGCTTTGAGTAAAGCCAGTGTGTCTATGTATGCGGATGACTCAACACTATACACGTCAGATACTGCAGTGACTGAAATGACTGCAACACTTAACAAAGAGCTGCAGTTAGTTTTAGAATGGGTGGCAAGGAATAAGCTAGTCCTAAATATTTAATAAACTAAAAGCATTCACTAAACCCTAAACCTCAACAAAATCTTGTAATAAATCATGTGGAAATTGAGCAAATTTAGGTGACTAAACTGCTTGGAGTAACCCTGGATTGTAAACTGTCATGGTCAAAACATATTGATACAACAGTAGCTAAGATGGGGAGGAGTCTGTACATAATAAAGCGCTATTCTACCTTCTTAACAGCACTATCAACAAGGTATGTCCTACAGGCTCTAGTTTTGTTGCACCTGGACTACTGTTCAGTCGTGTGGTCAGGTGCCACAAAGAGGGACTTAGGAAAATTGCAATTGGCTCAGAACAGGGCAGCACGGCTGGCCCTTGGATGTACACAGAGAGCACACATGAATAATATGCATGTCAATCTCTCCTGGCTCAAAGTGGAGGAGAGATTGACTTCGTCACTACTTGTATTTGTGAGCGGTATTGACATGTTGAAAGGACCAAGCTGTCTGTTTAAACGACTAGCACACAGCTCAGACACCCATGCATACCCCACAATACATGCCACCAGAGGTCTCTTCACAGTCCCCAAGTCCAGAACAGACTATGGGGAGGTGCACATGTATTGTAATGTTTTTTAAATTGTACAACTGCCTTAACTTTGTCGGACCCCAGGACGAGTAGCTGCTGTCTTGGCAGCAGCTAATGTTGATCCATAATAAATATAAATACAAATACACGCTAACCATCCATGTGAGCGTTGTGTGAATTGGGAGTCATCTGATCTTTTTTCAACAATTGGTCTTTTGACTAATCACTTCAGATCTTTTTCAGAGCTGATATGATTGGTCAAAAGACCAATTAGTGAAAAAAATATCAGAATTGGGCTGCCTGTGTAAACGCAGCCTGAGAGTTATAGTTCACTTTCTCAGGCTTTATGTGGCAGAGAGCTAGTGAGAGCTGAGCTGCCGGTCGATACAAAGGTGATCATGGAGGGGTGTCTTCCCTGAGAGGGGGAACTTAGTGAAGAACAAGCCAGCTGAAATTTCAATAATCTGATCAGACTTGTATTAGAGAGGTTTAATACAATTGATTGTTTTGAACCATGGCATGTCAAATGCTGCGTTTACACAGGCAGCCCAATTCTGATCTTTTTTTCACTAATTGGTCTTTTGACCAATCAGATCAGCTCTGAAAAAGATCTGATGTGAAAGATCTGATGTGATTGGTCAAAAGACCAATTAGTGGGAAAAATATCAGAAATGGCCTGCCTGTGTAAACACAGCCAAGGAGGTTTAGAATGGAAACCACTGCAAAACTCAGTAGATTGCACAGTATTGTGCCATCATGAAAAGTCTAGAATATACTAATGACAAAATACAAATAGAATG